AATCAAACGTTAGACTATACATCCTTGGCTAAGGAGCAGAAAACTGATGCTGAACTTCAAGATCTGCTGCAAAACGGGTCTAGTCTCAAGCTGGAAAAAGTAGTACTGCCAGACTCAAAAGAAGAAGTATATTGCGACATCACAGCGGGACAGCGACCATTCATAACTAAATCATTTCGAAGGCAGGTCTTCGATGCACTCCACAACCTGAGTCACCCGGGATCAAAAGCAACAGTCCGCTTGGTAACCCAAAGGTTTGTCTGGCCTGGAGTAAGGCGAGACTGTCGGCGTTGGGCCAAGGAATGTCAACCATGTCAGAGAAGCAAGGTCTCCAGACACACGAAGGCACCTCTAACGTCATTCCCAGCACCATCTGCACGCTTCAGACACATACATCTAGACTTAGTAGGTCCGTTACCATTGTCTTCAGGCTTCAGGTACTGCCTTACCGTCATCGACCGAGTGACCCGATGGCCTGAAGCGTACCCTCTCGAGGACATTACGGCAGCAACCTGTGCAGTCGCCCTAACATCCGGGTGGTTTGCGCGGTTTGGCTGTCCTGAACACATAACCACCGATCGAGGCCGGCAGTTCACGTCTCAAACTTTTAAGGACCTCACTACGCTTGTCGGTGCTAAACATCATTTAACCACAGCTTACCACCCCGCAGCTAATGGTCTAGTAGAAAGGCTACACCGGCAGCTCAAAGCCGCTATTATATGCTACGCCACCTCTAGCTGGACCGAGGTTTTACCATGGGTGCTTCTTGGCATCCGCAGCGCGTGGAAGGAGGATATTCAGGCTTCAACAGCAGAACTGGTCTATGGCGAGACACTACGCTTACCTGGACAGTTCTTCAGCAGCACCACAGACGAAACTATAGACCTGAGCAGCCTGGTCAGCAGACTTCGTTCACACATGAGCAAGCTAACGCCACAACCCACATCTTGGCACAGCAGTTCCAGTCGTCCATTCTACGTACCTAAAAACCTGGAGGCAGCTACTCACGTCTTTCTGCGCCAAGGTCCAGAACGAAGGCCGCTGCAAGCTCCTTACCTAGGACCGTACAAGGTTCTGCAACGTAACTCTAAATATTATGACATCGAGGTGAAGGGGAAGACGCAAAGAGTTACAATAGATCGTCTCAAACCCGCATTTGTCACAAATGAGACACCGATAGTCACCACAGGCAGCGAAAAAGCAAAGAACCAACCCGTCTTGAAGAAGACCAGAAGCGGGCGCACTGTCAGATTTCCAGACTACTATCGCCCGTAGTCACGGTCTCACCGGGGGAGTGGTGTGGCGAGTAGGCGAGTAACCCCTATGCGTTAGGACGTAGCACCAGATCATACGATCTACGTCACATATGGCGTGATGTTCTCGACATGTAGGGGATAAGTACAGTAAGCCCCGCCTACAGCAAGATGACCGCCCATTTGCTATTATACTACCAGCGCGCGCGCAATATGGTGGACGCACATCTTTTGTTGTACGGCATACGCCCACGTTCAAAAAGTGCCAGGACCGAACCTTTTCTATGTTTATTATTATTAACTATTTTCGTGTATAAATACTGTGTCGCATTGTGTGAGAAACCATTCCGACTTTTGTTATCGTCTTGGTACAAAAATAAAGAATTGTTTACGTGTTGCTCAAGTCCTTTGATTATTGATAACAAGCCGATACTAAGCAAATATCCTTCGCTTCGCTAGTATTATAAAGTTATTACAAAGAACTGAATTAGGATAACAAGCTGTCAACAGTCCAGTGGTTCGGACGCCGACTGCACTGTGATAGAAGGGAGTTCGATTCCAACCTAATTCACTTCAACTCAATAGCTACGACAACATAAGCGTGGGACAGACATACATAGGTCACTCATGACACGGATGGGTCGGCTCGACTAGAGTGATCCAACGTTCTTACAGAAAACGGGTGTAAAGCTATTTCTTGTTGCTTTTTAGTGGTAGCGGTGAAGAAACGAACAAAGGGTCTTCTGATGGTAAGGGACTACCCCTTACCATCAGACGACCCCTTTTTTCGTTTCTCCCTATTAAATGAAACAAAAAATAGGTTTCTATTTTCAAGTACCCTAACATTATTGACGACCGCCGAGACGGTTTAAATAGCATAATAACATTAATAAAATACTACAAAGTTACAGTTTTATATAAAACAGTCTGAAAAGTAATATCCTATAAAAGAAAATTTATTTTTTCTTGTTACAAACTTTAATATAAAAGTAAATTAAAATTCCAAGCAAGTATTCTCAACTTTGTATAACGGATGACTAGAAAAGAAACTTAGTCACAATTCGTCTGTCATATTTTTACGTATCATTGGCTACATTTTTTTAAACAGTCGTGTTGCCAGACTCCAAATATGTATTTTACGGGTAATTCAACCAAAAGTTCGACAAAAAACCTAACTTTTAAGGTTACAGTTACTACTGAAATTATCTTGTTCACTGATGTGAAATCCTGGAAATGAGTTCTATTTCTTTTTCATTATTAACACATACATTTTTAAGATAGAAAACCCTGCAAAACTGTTCTTACAGTTTGAATGCTGGAAAGCGATTTACAAGGTGTTCATTTTTAAGTGCCTTTATTTTCGTCAAATTAATCATGGTCACACATTACCTACAGCTATTCTTGATGATATTTAGCTTTCTAATCAATCTTTATATATATAATTCTTCTGTGAGTGTGTATGTCACTGAACTTCTCTCAAACGACTGGACCGATTTTGATGAAATTTTTTGTGTGTGTTCAAGAGGATCTGGGAATGGTTTAGATTCACAATTTTGTCCGCTGGACAATGTTTTTTTAATTAATTTTTAATTTATTAGTAGTTGTTGATTTTGGAATGTTTTACATTGGATCAGACAGACGGCGCTACCATCGCAGTGTCAAATTTGACAGGACAACGTCTGTCGGGTCCGCTAGTATTTTTATAAACTAAAACTACGACTTGTCCATCCAAAGCTTGCCTGTAAGAAACTGCCTTTTAGAAATAATGCCGCTATTTGTATACATTTTACAGTAATTTGATGTACCTATTTTTGTAAAAACAAAAAAGAGATGTACAATAAAGTTTATTCTATTCTATTAAATAATGAAGTACAGGAAATTTGATAAAAAGAAAGAGCCCGTGACTTAAGACTATTCGGCAATATCCTTTCATTAGACTATTACTGTAATTTACTTAAACTGCAATAAAATCGTTGAAGCGAATTATTTAGATAGAGCTTGTGACAGCAGGGTCGCCATACCGTCTATAATTTATTCCAAGAGCACGTTTCTGAAATGAGGGCTAATTGCCGACAAACTTTCATTAAATGGCTTACGCATAGCAACCTCTCATTTAGAATTTAAAAGTTATAATTGCCCCCTTCTTGTCTTAAAGCTTAACAATTTTATATATCAATAGGGCCTTGATTTGTGTGTTTAATATTTCAACAACTTTGATAAGTAGCTGTACTATCGAAAGGTATGCATTTTACCGATTAAAGAAAGTTTTCTTTTCTATGTTAATTCGGTTTTGTTATTTTCTACACTCTTTTTTTTCTTGAATTTTGAACACAATGTCTCAAGTAGTAGTTCAACTTCTTAGTTATTTCCTTTGTTAACACAATTTAGGTTAACCTTCTTAAAAAAATAATATTAAATTATACCATTATTTACTATAAATCAATACTTTTATTGACACCAATGCCAACTTAAATCATTATCTTCATCTTCGCAACTTTTGGCAAATTTAGTTGGGAGCGTCGCAATAAATGCCCATCTTTTATTCTATTTTTCATTAGCTCACTGATCCCTTACTAAAGATGTCTTTTACGCTGTCTATTCATCTTTTCTTTGGTTGATCTATACTCTTATAACTTCTAATTTATATACTATCACCATTTTTAAAAGTCTACAATTCCCAATTTTTATGGTATAGGGGGCCTGCAACTCGAAATAATTGTATCTACTTCCGATAACCGCCCTCACTCGATGAAAATCAACCAAATAATTGCTGAACATTATCAAATGCCTCGGTGATGCAGTGGTAGCGTAGGCGACTTCTGTGCTGAGGTCTCGGGTTCGATGCCCGGGTCGGACCAAGTGTTTCTATGATCTGTAAATATTTATTTAAGAGTTTAGGTATTTTCTATGTATAATATGTATGTATTTAGAAAAATAAGTATTCTATCAGTCAATCTAGCTTTCAGTTAGCTCTGCTCAGTTTGAAACTAGATGGCGTTGTGTCTCAAATATTTTTATTTTCAGTCAGCCTTTAATCACTCCGGTTAAGGTGGCCCACATATACCAAGGCATAGCTCTCCCACGATTGATATTTGCGTCTCTGACTAATGCTAATGTACTGGAACTCTGAAATCTGTCATTTTGTCAAGGGATAAAACGATAGGGTATCTTTATAAGTCAGATAAATCCGAAGTGTAATCGCAACCTGCTTCACCTTTCCAATTGAATAGATAAAAATGTGAAAAAGATGTGTCATCTATAACATTATGTGACGAGGGTCCCGCCGCGTCATAAACTTTAATACGAGTGCGGGTGACAGTACCCGGCTAGGGACTGCAACTCCTCGCGTAACAAATGAAAAACATAAATTGTGTTATTGGCATTGTCCTTCTGAAGTAATAAGATAACTATGTTGAATAACAAGTTTATCTAAGTTATGGTTTTATATTAGATAACAATATTTTAGGAGTTATCACAAAAATAGCCCTTTAAAGATTTTCTATGCTCAAAATAAACAATTTTAAAGCTCAATCTATTTCATTGGCAATACTGATACTATTGGGAGCTTCATTATAGAAGTTAAATTGAATTACAAAACTGGAATTAAATCGTAGGATCTTAAAACTCGCACTCACAAAGTAGCACTACACCATACATTGATGAATTGAATGAATGATTGAAAAAAAAATGATTCACAAAGAAAAAAATATCACTTTTTTTTCAGTATTGTTTTTTTTCTGTTTACAGAAGGGCAGCTTTACCGGGTTTCAAATAGCGTCCAACAGGAACGAGACGCAGCTCGTCTCCCACGTGATAGACCCTTTCCACCTAAAGGAGACCCAGGTATACTAATAAAAAACTAAAACGCCAAAAAATATCTGTTCATCATCATCAACAGACTAAACTAAACTAAAATTATTTGTAAATAATATTAGGCGTACGGGTCCCATTTGCTAGGAAAGTTAGTTTAGAAGCACTAGTTCCCATTAACACAGAGTGTCACCAACCCTATTTATCTCGTAGTGTCGTAAGAGCCAACTAATAGAGCAAACTCTGCAGGACGACAGCACTGCAAAAAGAAGGAAAACTTGAAACAAACCCGATATCAACCCGTCTGGTTACCGTGGTATAGTAGGGCAAAACCTCAATTGTACGGAGAGGCCTATGTCAAGCAGTGGACTGTTAGGGGCTGTTGTTATTGTTGAAAGACCAAATCTCCCCCTCCCTCCAATCACCACTCCAACAACACCACCACCAACAAAACAACTCCCGCATTAGGAATTTATCCTGTGTCGCGGGAGACTACAAATATACATGACATCACACAAAGTACCGTCCCAGGTAGGGATTGAACCCACAACACTTAGTGTAGTAGAAAGCGGCGTGGCGACCGCTTAAACCACTACGCCATCCGTGCAGTCGATAAAAATCGATACATATTGATGCTAACCCAATGAATGTTCTATATTTCAGTGCATGAGCTGAGAAAAGAGTACGCAAGTGAAAGTGAGGCCGAAAGAAGAGATTACGAACGCGTTGGCATACGTAAGATGGCGGATGCCAACAGAAAAGTCGAAGGAATAGGTCCAATCACCAGAGACGGAATGCCTGTCGCACTTAGATCTGTATGTATTGGCTATAACTATTCAAACCATTCTTGCTTATTATAATAGTACTCGTAATAGCTGTACTCTGCCACGGGTTTGCTGTAGCACACTGTGGTTGCGGCAATGAGAATTGAGGACCAAACTAATTCGAAAAATAAAAACAATGTTCGAAGCGGGTTGTAGGTATATCATGTCAAAGTTTGAGCTCAATCCGTGTAGATTTTTTTGAGTTTTTGAGGTGTAGACAAACAAACCAAAATTAGCATTTATAAATATACAGATCTTTACCTTTTTTTCTTTATTGACGGGTTTGGAAAAGCCAGGAGTATTTAGTGTTTCCACTACCCCGACGACGACCCACCCAGTTTGGTTAACTTTTAAACAATATTGACTTCATAAAACACAAATAGAGGAGAGCACTGAAAAACAATTGATTAAAAAATTGATTTGAAAGAAAACAATTGATTGAAAATACTGCAATATTGTGACATTTGTATAATAAGCACTGTAATAAAGGCACTAAGTACCTACCTACTGGTGTTTTATATTTGGTATCAATCAAAAAGATTGAATATTCACAGTTTTATATTCATATTGTATGTTTACACTTAACGAATTGCGTTGTATTCATATTATTCTTTATTTGCAGGAAGTGAAAGACCCTTCTAGGTGGTACAAAAAGATGTACGACACTATTCACAAAAATAAATACGACGGTGAGTCTAAGCGTCGTATTTTATTTTACCCAAATTTATATATTTTAGTTTATACCCTAGCCCAATTATATATTTTCTTTTTCAGACGATTATGTGACAATTCGATACAAAAGTCGGCGAGGTGATTATTTAAGTTTTTTTTTTTCCAAATTTTTGTTAACATTGGTGGCTGTACAGTACCATCGCGTACATTGTTACTGTGATCGCTTAACTTCATCTGTATCTACTGTCCGCCTTTTGTAAATATATTACCTTACGCTTTGTTCAGTCCCCCTCCTGTGTAGGAACCCGGATGTACACTAACCACAAGCCAAATCATTCCATACACATGTATATGTATACACCATAAGTATACACTTGTACATCCAAACTTGTTTATCGTATCCCATCAAAACTCGTGTGGTGTTCCGTCATAAGTGAGTGTATTGTAAGGGACCTGAGGGCTGACAGTTGCGAGATCAAGAGTTGATCGGAACTCAATTGTGACCGAACTTTTATTAGGAGAATTGGAAAAACTTTGGTTAGGTTGATCCTACTGTAATCTTACTTACTCGGGAAATACAACGCAGAAAATGCTTAACACCGGTATTCTGTGAGGCTGTGGTATTATTCTGTTTGCACCAACTCTTCGACGGTTAACTAAATACAACTACCGGTAATTTGGTTTCATATTCAAGTTTAACCTTTAGATTTGACACTTAAATCCAGAAAAATTTTGTAATTTTTCTGGATTTAAGTGTCAAATCTAAAGGTTAGATGAAAGTATCTCCACCCTAAAAGTCCTCTTTTTGTGAGTGTGGAAACTGTTATCATCGAGGTTATCGGTGGGCCCGAGTGTCGGAATCAAAACACAATAAAACTACACTGCCTGCGCCTAAAAATAGGAGAGTTTGGATATCTTTTATTATGATATCCGAACCCACCTAACGAATGTTCATAAACTTTCACAGCATTTAGGTTGCATATATCCCTATCTCCTGGCCTCTAAATGCTGAGAAAAAGTTTTACTGTTTGGCTTGGATGAAAGTTTATTGCCCATATTGTCGAAGTACGTACATTTTATTCCCTCTTCAATTATTTTACATTCCTCAAAGCGGCTAGTTTACTTGAGTAGAACTATAAATTATCAAGCTTTAACTGACATGTGACGTCATAAAACTCTGCTAAGTATTGTATAGAGTGGATGACTAGGAAACCAACAATAACTGTATTAAGCATTGAATTTTTCTAACTAAATCATAATAAAGCATCAGCTTTAAAGCTTCATTAATTCACTAATGTAAATTTAAGTATTTCATGTAAAAAGAGTAACTATAATGATCATAATTGTACATTAACCCCTGCCTTTAATCGGCACTGCTGCTTAACTCTGCGTTGCTATGGAAATAGTGACAGGCTGTAACTTCAAAACGTAATCAAATATTATTCTTTTTATACCATGAATATAAACGGCCTTTGCAACTGTTTTAATACAGTAATAACCATTGATAGGTTTGGAAATGATTAACAAAACAACTTGCGCGTCTGTGTCACAGCCAAAGCACGGCGTCAAAATATCTATATGGCGTCGCAATTAGACTAAAAAATATTTGCAGAAATTATTCTATATTTAAAACTTTCAAATTTAAATTTAGAACCTTTATTCGTTCCAAGCAAAAGGATTAGGTACTTTTATTTTAAAGAAACCCTTTAGACAAAAAGTATCAACTTAAAAACTGGGCGACCCAAACTAAAAAAGCCGCCTGATAACAAAATTTAAGAAAAACATCATAATAGATTTAAAATTAGGATGTTATCAGAAGACTATAATAACCTTCTGTTTCGCTCTAGTCTAAGACCGTTTTCATAAACGGCTTACTAGTTATTTAATATTCAAGTGATTTAATCGCTTTAGCTAATAACATACATCATTAAAACAGTTAGCGCTTGCAGCATAACAGTGTGTATACAATACAGTAACATTAACATTATCATATTTGTACAGGACAACCGCCAGAACGGGTATCAAGTAACAAATCCCAATACGCATACTTTGACCCCCGATCTGGATACCTGAGTGAGCCGGAAGGGGGTCTCAGCAGACTAGGCTCTAGCACCTGGAGTGATGCCTACGATAGTGACGTCACTACTGGGCCGAGGAGGCGAACAGCCTCTGTGCAGGAAGAAAGAAGATACAGTGAAGCTTCTTCGCCTTATACGCCTAGTAATAATAAGTAAGTAATATTGTATTCGACTAGCCTCTTGGTGTAGTGGGTCGATTCCTACCCAGGATATCTAATTGTGTGATGAGCACGATCTCGTTCTGTGCCTGGTTGTAATTTATTTATATTTTGTATGTATTTAGAAATAAATCAATATTATTTATCAGCAGCCTGATTACCATAGTACAGGCTCTGACTAGTTTGCGAACAGACAGCCGTGTGTAAGAGATGTAAATTTATTACTAAAGTTATTATTCTTTTTATTTCTTTATTTAAGGGCTTAAAAAATAATATCACTTTAAATTAAATTAGCTGCCTGAGCTAATTTAATACACAGAGGCTCACAGCAAAAAGATTATATATGACAATATTTGATTCACATATTAAAACTTTTAATTCATAATCACATTTTTTTTAAATGGATCTCTTGAGGAAATCCAAACTGCAAACCAAAACTTCATAGCATAATTATATGAGCGTGGGCTGTTGTGTTGTGGTGTCTGAAATTTTTAATTAGGTAGGTACTAGCTGTGCCCTGCCGCACTTCGCTTTGGCACATTGTGGTGGCATAGATGAGAAATGAAGAACAAAACTGACTCATTTTTTTTTATAAAAACACTTTTTGAAGTGGGTTGTGTATCGTGTCGCAATTTGAGCTCAATCGATGCAAAACTTTTGAAGATTTCGAAGCGTACACTAACGAAGTTAACATTTTTATATATATATTTACAGGGTTACTGGGTAAGTCGACCCAGATACTTTAAACCAAACCAAAACTTACTGTTTTCAAGATATTTGACTTTTATAAAAATCGACGACATTTTGTCTAATTCAATTTTTTTATATTCTTTACTAGATACGTTGTTTTGCCATATAGAATAATAAAAATGTAGGGGTGGGTACCCTTGTCATTTAGAGGTATGAAAAATAGATGTTGGCCTATTCTCAGACCTACCCGATGTGCACACAAAATTTGATAAAAATCGGTCCAGCCGTTTCAGAGTTATGGTAACTAACATTGTGACACGAGAATTTTATATTTAAGATTTTGTTTTTTTTTTATATTATGTTATCTTACATTTGTAAATGAGACATTCCTTTTATTATTAGGTACAGTACGTTAGCATCAGCGCGGGCTAGTCAAGAAGTCTACAAAAACCAACCAGGAAGGATAGAGAACTATGTGCCGGGCAGGTCATCAGTTATTGACAAAGAGTCTAAACAGGTACGTTGTTACCATTATTGCACAGTCGCTTTATATCATTGGGCCAGTCATAGTCATCATCATTCATCACCCATCAATGCATTCATTAATGATAGATATTAATAAACTATCTAATTTCATCATAATTATATTTAATTTGGGTCTGCTCCCACTTACCTACTTCCAAGGACTTATAAATCGTCTGAGAACGTAAACGAATTTAAGTAAAAGTACCTTTTTCTTGTTCTTACAAAGTAGATATCAAAGGAAACAAAATTTTCAGTAGTTCAGTAGTTAAGTTATTTGTATTTATAAAGTATTTACAGTGTAACTAACATGTGTATTTCGGGGATGCCCAATTTGTTCTTTAACTGACGCGGGATTAACCGTTCCAGAGCTATGCTTCGGCATATTTAGCCACCTCGACCGGAGTGATATCTTGGCCTCACAGAAAATTGATGTGTACATATGGTGGGCACTGAAAATCAGTACTGGGACGGACCATGTCCATCACAATGCTGAGGGTCCACCTATTTTGTGAGACACAGCGTTCAACGCTCATCAACATAAGCTATCGATGTAGTTCAGAGTTGAGAGTCTTACTTGGTTACGTACAATAGGTATTTTCTCTTCTCTTTGGTACCATTTATAACCTAAAATTATAGTGATCATCACATCATATATGACTAAGACCACAGATAACTTGGTCAGGTATATATGGTGGCACGTATAATAGTTGTAAGTTTCAAAAATGTTATAATAACCTAATCACATAAAATGTATTCTTTGTTTTTTCCTATCAACTTAAGTTGTATGGCTGTGTCTTTTACAGAATAAAGTTTTATTTTTTTATTATTATAATATTTTTAAGTTAGGAAACTGTTTCATAGTTTTTTGCCGAGTGGGTTTAACCGGAGCCCGAACCCACCCTCCTACTAATTCTAAGACATTATTCAAAGAGCGGCTACGTACACCTGACTCTTGAGTTGTTCATGGCCGATGGTAATCACTGCTCGTTTGCCCCCAAATCCCATATTCATACCGCCTTTCTGAAATAACTGAAGTATCCTCAAAATATGCACGTTTCTAAACTCGTATATAATTCATAAATGCGTTCCTTTACCATTTAAAAAAGTTTTTACTTCTATAAAATAGCTAGTAATTCAGGAGTATTTCAATAGCAATCTTGGACATTTATATTCGAACAAACATATATTAAGCTTAAATACTTTAGCATTGGAGTAATTAATAATAATGACCGTTACTTATTGAGTAACAATTTAAAACAAATTTCCATTTCACTAACCTTACCATAATTAAGCAACGACAAGTTTTTTTCTTTTCTAGTGGTGGGACGAGGTCATGGACATTTTTGATGGGGTACGAATATTTTTACTATTTTAATTATGTGTTTGTTATAACCTTACTACTATAACAGATCACTACCAACGTCCATATTGATTAAATTAAATTCAAAACCTTTTAAGTACCCTATATAAATGTATAGTTTGCTTTTCTAACAGCTCTTATGTAATTTCAGTACCTCTTTGCTGTAAATAACTCTACATCTTAATGGAACACCCACTTATGTATACCTGCTATAATGGTTAATAGTTATCTAGGAAAAACTACGCATAATTACAGATATATGCATGTCTATATACAAAACAGATACATGATCAAATTAAAACAACTTAACTATTAATTTAGAATTTTTAAATAAATGCTTATGAACAAGAGCAAACGCTCAAAACCTCTTAATTGTCGTTTAACATACATACGCCTTTATCCCTGAAGAGGTGAAAGTAAAGAAAAAAGAAGTATTAAAAGTCCACATTTTGCTAAATGTATTACAGTTTTACCCTATCACAAGCAAAGATATGAAAATTTACATGCATATATCGTAAAGCGTGGTTGTGTAAACAATTCATCAGTGACACACTAACGCATATTTTTATCGTTGGGTTCGTGTGGTGGTGACACTAACAGTGGCTAGACGACAACTCTCCTCTGCCCCCTTACACCACGTTGCTAGCTCGCGCAATACAGAAGAGTGTAAGGTCCCTTAACTGTCTGCCTGTTTTTTTAGCCAAAGGGTATGTTTACACTTTGATTTCTAGAAGCAAAACAATGTAAGTTTACAACAAAATTATTCATATATACCTATATGTTTAAATTACTTTAATTGAAGTGTAAACAAAGCCTGAAAAATGTTTCTGTGTTTACGATTGCACGATGTTATACCAAGTTGTATGTTTAGATATGTTGTTAATAGTTTACTAATCCTCTAATGTTTTTATCTTGAATTATTGTTTTGTAAATATGTTAAGAGTAATTAGAAAAGTTTTCAAGTTTAATTGTGACAGCGTGGTCTATTGTTGACTATCTGTGGATCTATAAACTCGTTTTTACACCTCGAATTTGATATTAACTTAACTAAACATATAAAAACTATGTAATTTTAATTTTTAAGAGGAAATCAAATTAGGTGCAGTACTTAAGTTAAACTATCTTCGAAAGAGTCTCAAGAAAGATTCACTATTAACATAACATTACAACGTTCCCAGAGCTGTATCTCTAACTGCAATATTTTCATTGAAAGTGTTTCCCTTTCAATGAAAATATGAAATTTAAATCTAAATATTTGAAAAAAAAACTATTCTGAGTCCGTACAGACATTCTATCCAACGGATTTCTGCTTTCTTCTTTTTCACTTCGTCTTCTTTTTAATTAAATATCGTCGTAAATCACCTGACCTTTAACTTCCTCAAATTATACTCCAACGCGATTTTCAGTACACTTCTTAACTTTTCATAGCTTGCTTATTCTGTGTATCTGGTTTTAATGTGATAATACATCTGGTTTTAAAGTAATGAAAGTGGGTTTTGGGCTCACAACATTCGCTGGATTTGATTCTTTTCTGACTCGAGCGGAGTTAGATGGAAGCTAGGTTTAAACTTCAACTTAAGTACCATGAGACGTTTTTCTAATAATTAAAAAGTAATTAGAAAAGTCGTCTGAATACTACTAAAAATATTACGTCTATATGATCATATTTACATCGACACAATACTATACTGTCATTTTCATTGGTGTTGGGAAATTATTTTGTATCGTGCATGCTTTTGTTGTAAAATATAAATTATCTATTTTCTTAAGAAATCAAGTCCAATATACAAAGTATAATGGATCGAGGCTTTACATGAAAATGTTTTTCATCGTCATAGTCTGTGATTTTGATAGCATGTTGATAACTTAGTTTTGTTTCTGTTTTTAAACAGTAAATTGCATTTTCCTACTCTATTCTGTATTTTTGTTTACGATTTTAAATTCGATTGTTTTGCTTTGTAGCATGACTTAAACAATCTCACAGGAAGACGTGAGGTCACTACACCCCTAGTCCGTGTGAAAACAAAAATGAGCATAGTTTCTGAGTGCTTGACTTATTTGTGTGAGTCAGATTCGCTCATAAAACTAGAGATAGAGATTATCAGTATAAAATGCTTTCCCTGAACATTTTTTATTTTAGCACTTCTCTCGTAAACTATGGTCGTTCATATGGTGCAATATTGCACCAGGGGTAATTAGTAATACAGGGGGAACGGTTCACTTAGAACGTTGTTTATTTTTTGCAGCAAAATGTTTCAAGCACGACGTCCCTGCCACAAGCTTCACCCAAAGATAAAAAAGATCTAACAGCTACAATCTTGTCAAAATCGAATATGGCGAGGTAAGTATCGTTTTAAATATAATTTACATAGTTACATTATCATTTAAAACAAGAACATAATTAAATATGCGTTACGCAGCTGACTATTCCGCAAAAACCATTTAATCAGATGTTTTAATCTAGATTACCAGACTGTCCATTAATTATGTGATCGTAAAAATTATGTTAATATATAACATTAGTATAACACTAGTATATAACATTAGTTAATGTATTACATTATACAATAATATATACTTTCACTTTATATTAATTAATAGAAAATAGTCAATGTGTTACCCCTAATTGCAACTCGGATACTTGATACGCGTAAGCAAAAATAAAATGATTTTAGATAGAGTATTTAACGTCAAAGCCTGCCACAGGTCATATGCGAACAACGCCAACTGCCGGACTACATGTGGCTGTGGATGTGTTTAGCAGCGAGTTTTTCGAAGACTCTGAAACTGTATCGCTGAGACTAGCATCAAATAGTCACACTAAAAGTGTTGCGGGTAAGGGAGAAGTACGTCTACAAATAAACGATGAAGTAATTGGCCTACTAGATACATTGTACGTGCCCACCTTGTCTACCAATCTTTTGTCAGTAGCCAAAAAACTGAAAATAGAAACAGTGTCGTTTTCACAAAAGATAAAGCCTATATTAAAGATAACAAAGGCCAAACATCCTTGACCGCCAATAAATTAAATGGTCTATACTATGTCACGAATTTTGAAGAGGCGAATGTGGCTCGAACTGCTGATCTGTCACTGATCTCCAGAAACGGCATAAAAATTGTCATTTAAATGAAATTGATCTGAAATGCGAAGCGACTGCAAAGCGAAAACTTATAAAAGGCCTAGAACTGCTGTCTACAGAAAAACTACCCAATTGTGAAGTATTCATTAAAGGGAAAATCTCACAATTACCATTCAAGTCTATAGAAGAGCCCCAGTCTACACAGCCTCTGCGTCTTTCGAGCGGTACGCTAATAGAGCCCCATTTTAAATTAGAAAAAGGAAAAGGTAATGAAAACTTACCCTACCAAAATCTAATCGGTTCTTTATGTTTTTAGAAGTTCCAACGCGTGTTGACATTATGTTTGCGGTTACCTTTTGTCACAATTGAACAGATGTTTCGGGAATGAGATCAATAAAGTAGCAAAACAAATCCTAAGATATTTAAAAGTAAAAACAATAATGGGTGTTAATTTTGAAAAAAAAAAAACAAAAATAAGGAAATGATTGGTTATGCAGATGCCGATTGGGTAGCATGCACCATCGATAGACGCTCATACACAGGATACTACTTCATGACGGCAAATGGCGTCATTAGCTGGAAGTCCCATAAACAAAAAGTAACAGCGATGGCAACTGCAGAAGCAGAATATATGGATATTTCAGATGCTGTAAAAGAAGCGCTTCAGTTGCGAAATCTTTTGAAAGATATGACTGCACTAAAGCAGGATAAAATAATTATTTTCATCCAAGATGCTGGCAGATCTCCTGACAAAGGGCATGGCTGGTCCTCGCAACCTGGAATTAAGGAGATACTTGAGAATAAGATAGCGCCGTAGTGAGGAGGAGTGTTGTGAATCTTAACACAACTCTGCTATCTAAAGTAGCTGGCATACTGTTTCATTTTTTACGTTTGGTAGTCCTGTCATTCCTTGTAAAACAAAATCATTATAAAATTGTACTTCCTTTTTATGTCACTAATAAATGCAAATAATTATCCTCTAATTGCAACCTGGTGTTTAAATCCATCTATATCAAAACCCAACAGTAGATAAACTCAATCGGCTACAGACAGTCAAACCTGGTGCTGACTGAAGTCACACCACGACTCATTTGCAGACTGATCAGTCTTAGCAAACTAGACATCCGAATAATTGTAAGTACTATAATAGGACACCGAGCGCTAAACCGACAACTATTCACCATTAATGCGACGGAAAGTCCTCTTTACAGAGAATGTCTGTAAGCAAAAACAACGGCCGTCCACGTAATCCTGGAATGTGAGGGAATGGCTACACAACGGGCAAGTATCATACCTGATACAAAATCGCTCTTAGAAGCCGGTAAACGCCCCAGGAGGCTTCTGCGTTTTTGGAAGGAGCTTGGTTGGCTCCCCTAGTCAACCTATCCTGGACGCATAAAGGACCATTCTTGAGTCTAAATGTGGAAACCGGAGACCACAACCAATACCAATCTGCTCTTTTAAAAGTATCGCAACTTTTACAAAGACATAGTTTAGATTTTTAACGCCATCGACCTCCGGCCGTGACAGAGACTCCACTGACATGAACTGATTTACACAAAATTCAATAAATCATTGGAAACTTAATCAGTTTTCTCTAACCTTTAAAGTTGTCGAAGATCTTGAGGTGCACTCTGAACCCTCTTTACTCCAATCTTATATTTTAACGGTTCACCGTCGTACCGTATTTATTTAAATTTGATTGTAATGTGGATGATTTCACACAGATGCACACATAGCTTGAAATTAATTATACCGTTATTAGGCATACTACATTTAATAATGAATATCAACCTTCATCCCACACTTCTACAGGTGTTACAACTGTGTTATGTTTTTGTATCTAGAGCGCTGAAGGAATCTGGATACGAATCGGACTCCACACTGGTGTTCCGTCGTCGTGAAGACACAGACGGTCCCCTTTCTCCGGCAGAGAGGCGCGCAGCCTATCGCGATCTACAGGCTGGAGGAGAACCTCCACTTAGAGGATTCCGGTCTCCAGCACCACCTAGGCAAGGTCAGTACTCTTAAATTTTACGTAATCGTCTAACATTCAGACTTAATGTTATAATGGGTGTTATCGATTAGCGTCTGATTATTTCGACATTGCGTCACCATATCTTAATAGCTTAAAATTCATTAGCGACATTATTTATTAATACATGTTTCCTTAATGATGTGTAATTAAATCATGGTTTAGTATTCCTATTGCACAAAATTTTGGTTCACCTGACGGACATGCTTTGATTATTGAAACATATGCCACAGTTTATAAAGTATAGTGTTTTATCTATGGCAATAATTTCCTGCTATTTATAGAAGTATAATGATAATTAGAAATCTAAGAACCCAATATATCACCATCAAACTGTCTAATAAATATGCCATGGGAAATTATGTCATTATTTTAAATTGAATTGTAGTTTTAAGAATTCTTTATTCTAAGACACTTACATTAGGCTAGGAAAGTAACATTAAACTTAGTTCGAACTAATTAAGCATGGTTTTCTTAACTTTTTCTGGATTTTCGGTGTGGGCGGTTTATTGATACTCAGTACTTACCTTGTTCGAATGTCTACTTAAACATGTACTCCAGAAAGGGAAAAAGCAATTTTATAACAGCCTATAAAATTAAATATTATCAATCACGCACTGAAATGGAAAATCGCATTTCCATTAAACTTGGCCAAGGTGAATGCACATCCCATGTGTATGACATACGTGTAAAACTATCGGACGTATCTAGTCAAGGCCACGTGTAATGACAATGCTTTCGATCGTGCACACAGTAGTCTACATAGAAATTCACGTGAGGTAAGTCGAGGATTTTGCCTATGCATGATTTTATACCCTATTTAATATGGTGCTGGGACTTCGGACTGCGGTGTAATCAGGTAAATTAACTTGCATGAGCATCAATTTACTCCAAAATTAAACCAACACAGTAACCACTGTTGACCACAATATCACGTTTTTTTATTAGCGGCACATTTGTAGAATCACGTTTAGTTAAACAATATGGCTTCCGAGTACCAACCACGAATGAAATAGAACAGGAGCACGAGTATCACAGGTTTAATCACATCTAACTAGAACTATCGACAAACAAAAATTGAAAGTGATTAAATTCCACAGACGAATCGGAAATCGAATATATTCCGATTTCATCCACCTTGACGAAGATAAGAGTTCATAAGAAAACACCTAAAGTTCATGAAGTTATATGCTACCCAATAACGCGCATAGAAACAGAAGAACAAGCTAAATTTAAGAAATTGCTTCCGTCTTTCTTGAGCATTGACGTTACAAGTAATGTTTCTGATTATCCACCTGCTCCGCCTAGACGAATTTCATCAAAGAACAGCCGAACGCTAAAATTTGTCACTTCAACAAGACCTGTGTCTAGCTCTCCAAAAAGAACTGCGGTGTCACATTCCCGATCAAACGTTGATTTTCTAAAAGACAAAATCAATTTAAAACTATCTCGTCAAAATACACAGATTTTATCTAAAGGAAATCAAAGTGCAACTGACAAAAAACCTGTTGTTGATCAGAAAATGGTAAGATCCCGAATAATGTCTACATCTGCTCCACCTACTATAAATAAGAAGTGTAATCAAACTATAACAACAAAACCATTGATAAAAAATGCCAGTGGGGATACTAAAAGTACTGGCACAAGTAGTTTTGGTTCATCTCGAAGAACCTTGCTACCAATAGAATATACTAACACTATACACAGAAAATACGGCGAACCTCACTCAACTGTCGTAATAGAAGGAGGTGCTGGAAGGAAAACACCCATTTCGAATATTCTTGATAAAGTTACATCTTTAGATAAACTATGGAGTGCTGAAAAAAGAAATGAACGCATTGATTTAACTAAAGTTAGAGCTAAATCTTTAAGTAAAGATAGTGTTTCTAAACCTGCATCAACAAAACCATATACAGCTTCAAACTCTAAATCTATATCACCGACGGGTACTCATAAAAGTAGAGACATGATCCGAACGGCAGAAAAAGTTCAGAAACTAAAGATATCAAAATTATATACTAAATCCAACCCCTGTCTAACGACTAAAAGTGATCTAAAAAACACTAAACCTCTTCAATCGTCCTCTAATATTTCGAAATCGTCCTTAAATATCTCATCAAATTTAAAGAAGCAAAATCAAGTGAGAACTGCAGTAGTGACCAACTTAAAAAAGAAGAAATCGTTGGAAAGTATTGTACTTAGACCTAGAAGTGTACCCTGCCACGAATCTTGTAGTAAAAAAATTAAAGATAATAGTAAGAACACAAAAAAAGCTTCAAGAATTAAATGTAATAAAAAAAACGTTTTGAAACCTAGTGATGAATCTGAATCTGGCAGTCAGTTTGGTGATACTTCATGCTATGACGCTTCTAATTTAAGTTCATCTGAAAACTTAAGTACTAAAAGAATTAGTACAAAGGATATTAAACAATCCCATGACGCTGTGGTGTCCGATTCGTTTTTTAGACATTTATTTCTTGGAAGAACATATACACCTATTACTTCATGTCCAATATCAGAGCCGAGCACTACAGTCCTTCAAAAAGCAAAACTGTTTCAGTCTCATCCTCAAGATAATAATTCACCAAAATCTTTAAACACTTATTTAATTCATAGAAAACCGGTTTCTATGTCTCGATTTAAAATCTGGGATAGCCATATAAGTCCTACACGAGTACAAAGCCCTCGATCTATTTCTTGGCCAGGTAGAGTACATGGTGAAATTCGTAAGTTTGATAGTTTATCTAAACGCGATGAATATGGATCGACATCGTCACTAGCAACAGTCAGGACTCGGAGTGAACCGCCATGTAATAAAATTTACTTTTCACAAACATCTCGACCGAAATCACCTACTGTCTTGTTTTATAAAAAAGAAAAACCCAAAGAAACTCAAGTTAGAAGTTTTATATCACCAAATAGATTGGTTTTTAATCAAAGTCAAAGGTCAGTTTCTCCAAAATTACTTAGTGGAAAACAAGAATTACTTTCACAACCAAAACAAAAGTCCTCATCTCCATCGAAACTAATATTCACTGAAACGGTTAGACCGATTTCTCCAGTGATTTTACGTCATTCACCGAGCCTTGAAGTAATGGAATTACAATCTAGTAACGAGAAATATCCTTCGACAATGTTTTTTTCTCAAACCTCAAGACCAGTCTCGCCAAAAGTGACAAAGAAAAATGCTTCAGTTAGTAGAAGTCATTCCACCTCACCTATACCTATAAGATCGCCATCATATCGCCGTATACATAATGCTCGTTTACAAGGGAATAGACAGTATGCAGATACAATACCAAAAAGCATTTTTCGCACACGTAGCGCTGGTGATGCTGAGAGAAAAATGTTAAATAATAATTCTCCAATGCAAACCAAAAGCGAGTCTAATTTACATACAGGTGATCCTGATTATGATGAATACGTACGTGACATGCAAAATACGAAAGTGAGGTCGGAAAGATTTAGAGAACTTAATAGATACTATGTTTATCTAGAGCGAGTAGCAGAATTGGAAAAAACGACGTCTACTAGTGATTTACATCATAGAAAGAAAGATGAAGAAATAATTGATTTCGATCGTTGGAAGAAAATAAGAGCAATAGAACGAGCTGAAGAAGAGTTAAATCATCTTTATCATAAATTGAAAATAGCTCAATCCGAGAATGATGTCCTATTTTACCCTAGAGACTTAAAAGATTTTCGATGGAGTCACGATGCAGATAGAGGTTTGCGTATAAAAGAAAGATCTGTTGAAGATCTTAAAGATCATTTCCAGCAAATAACACATTACGATTCTCTTGAACTTGATCAAGCTTCCTCGAAAGATACTTATAAACCCTTGTGGCGAGGAACAAGTGTAGCAGAAACAGCATTTTATATCAACAAGAAAAATGATAATGCGGTATCAAAACAACGTATAACTATTAAACCAACAGTAACCTTACACCACGATTCTTCACTTAATGATCTCCGTAAAAAAATAGGTCTCGGGAGTCGCTTATGGAGTAGTCTGTCTATGGAGCAGGTGAATGCGCTTAAAAATCAACTTAATGCTATTTATAGTAAGGAGCTACAAAAATCAAACAAAGAAAGTGATAAATATACAATTGATGTTAAAAATGATAAAACTGAGACTAATTCAACATTGCATGTTAGATGTAATTCACTAATTACTAGTGATTATATCTCAGATAAGGAGAAACCAGGTAAACTCGCTAAGTCGGATTCCATAGCTGCAATTTCGTGTCCAATTACATCAGTTAAGGAATTGAAAAATAATGTAAACAAAATTCAAATGAACCTTAGTGAAAATGAAAAAAGGAAAATTTCACAGACTCTGAGCAAAGAAATTTTAGATAGAATAAATAAATTTGACACTCAAACACCACTTTCGCTGAAAGAAGAAATTGAAAACATCGAAATCAAAGACCAAATTTCGGAAGATATAAAAGACACAGTTTTACCATTAAATAACACATTAGCAAAAGCTGTGACAGACAGTTCCATAGACGACAAACCGGGACATGTTATTTATTCAATTGAAAAAGTTGAAACTCCTTTCCAGTCCTCAGCTAGTGAAACTGAAACTGCTAGTTCCGATATATCAAATAAAACGGTAATTTATCGAGGCCCAAAAAAAGAGGTACAAAAAAAAGTTCAATATTTTGAATCAGTAGAAAAAAACTCTGGTCAGACAAAAACCATATACCATGCCAGAGAAAATTCTAATGAAAGTGAAAACCAAAAGCAACCCAATTCAGATACAACGATAGTGCTTAAAGACATTCAGTCAAAATATTCTCAAATTAAATCCACAGAACCTCAGAAAAATCAAATAGTTCAATCGCAGTCTTGTACGAATTTCAAAGAGCTATTCGGTGAGAGCGAAAAAAATAAATTCTTATCGCTTCCTTCCAAGCCCGATCTATATTCTAGGTCAACTTCACCTCATTCAGAAGTATACATTGCCGATAGACGAACGCCCGACACGCTACACTGTTCAAGTGACGAGACAATTTGGCGTAGTCGGAGCCCGTCACCCGACCCGGAAAGATATTGGCGTGCATACCTTAACCTGGCGCGAGCGGGTGAAGTACGCCGTTTAGCCCGGCGATTTGACTCTCCTTCAGCGACAGGGGCTGTATTGCGTAGATACCGCAGTGATCCAGAAATTGCGAGAAATGCTTTCTCAGCTTTTGAAAAGCATACATCGCGACGCGATAAATGTAAAGTCTTGTTGCCTGTGGCACGGGTGCCACTGCGGCCTACAAACCGATTTATGCCCCATATTGACATTATATCAAAACTAGCTGCACTTAGGAGAAGAACTACTCCGCGGTCTAGATCTGCAGAAGAAGCGTTAGAATGCCGACCCGGAGAGGTAGGCCGTATTCGACGTAGATTTGAAACCATGTCTCTCCTTGGACAGATATATTCTTCAGCTCCTGACGTCAGTGAGTTACACGATATCGCTCCATATTTAGCAGGTTCGTGGATAGCACATCGTTACCCTAAATGTAGTGATAATAACAGATCCGCTGAAAATCCAAATATGTTAGTACGTGAACAAACATCGCCGGTCAAAAAAGAAATTAAGAAAATCACACCAAAGGAATCCATCAAATTGAGCTCTATTTTAAAAGGAGATACATTTGCAAACCAAGAGTTTAACCCAGAAGCCCATCGGCCAGCCAGTCGTTATGAACCGCCACGCGCTCCACCGAGACCCCCTCCTGCTTCGTGGCCCCAACGTCTTTCACCCTACGTCACACCATCGAAACATACGGTCACATTCCAAGGTTAATTTCTTTAATATTTTACAATTTACTACTTTGCGTTTAATTTTGGAGGAAATTTTAATATTTTGGAATGTTGCTTGTCATTACAAATTTATTGATCATCGTTATGGTATCCACTGTTTTGCGTTTTCGATGTGCGTGTTTGCCTTGCGTGATTATAGTACGCAGCGTTTACCGTCTTCAATCATAATTTAATATGTTTGTTTTGATTGTATAAATAAACAAAACTTAAACATTTCATTAACAACGTAACATAATATCTTCTTTTATAAGTAGCTGCAACTTTTTTCAACATATTACATAACTACTTGATTTGCATATTAGATGACTGTCAAATATCATAACGATGGTGAATATTTTCAGATGTGTGTTTTGATTTGATTTTTCTGTTTAGTCCTTTATCACATTTTGTTATATACTTACTATTAGAGACGGACTCAGCACCGGAGCCGCCTCGCAGGACTACGTACGGGAGCTATTCAGATACAGGCAAGTACCTATTCCTATTTTCGTTATGTGTTGTATCTTATTCATATGTGTGACCACAGAATCATGACAAATATAAATGATTAACCTACTTTTACACATTAGATAACACCTTTGCTCAAGTAACTTACGAAAATGGTTTAAGTATCATGAGAGAGCCAACAAGCTTTGTAGTAGCTGTATTTCATATAATATTGTGTGAATAAAAAATAACAATGGTCTTTGTGTCTTAACTTATTTGTCTGACCGTTGCCGTTAACACACGTAACTTGAGACGAATTTTAAATCAGAAAAGTTAAATTTAGAATCAGAGATACATCAGTTACAAAATAATAAAAAATTACTACAGTGTAACAAAATCAAAAATGTTTATGTAGATTGTGAGATTATAATTATCAGTTCACCTTTTGCCGTTTACGTCATTGAATGCGACTCGATTGGACTTCCAAAACCTGCCAGTCCAGTTTTTTTTTCGATTGTAAATAGTCCGCCTAACTGCTTCAGCAAATACGGTGTGCTGTTGCTCATAATGTAATAATATTATTTTGACGTCGATGCTACGATAATTTATATTGAACAATACCGGTAAAGTTTTATCTAGGTTAGTCACTGATAATACTCTATCAATGTTCAAAGTAATCCTTTCGTGTTCAGTGCAGTATAAACCACGTAAGTGAAGTGTCAAATGGTGAATCAGTGAAAAACATATTAAGCAAAAAAGTGATCATGAAGTCTGTTATAAACCGTAATAGTGACATACCAATACGAGAAGACATTATTTATGAAGATGATGAAATGTTTAATGACGTGCCGAGTGCCGGTTCATTATCCAAATCACTTATTGCTTTAAACAAATATGTGAAAAAAAATATGCTTTATGATGAATCAGAAGAATTTGATAACGATAGTGCCTTTTTTTCAAAAGAAAGCAGCCCTAACGAATCTAGAACTAAATACGATTCAGACAGTGTAAAAAGCACAGAATCTATTGAAGGTGATCAGTCGTCGATTGATAACTCTGGTGCTCCAATAAGTTATAGTCTAACTAGTGTCACACAGCTCACTGATGACTACAAATCTATGCAGTTGCAAGAAAAATCTTTTAACAATTCAAACAAGGATATTGACACAACAGTACATAACCTTCATAACCAAAATACAACAGAACCAGTAACTAAATCCAACACTAGTCAAAGTTTATCCACATTTGAACCAGACCACACTTCAGCCTCTTTAACAAATCTATCAAATATTGTTGAATCTGTACAAGAAAATGACGATCAGGTTGTTTTACGTAATAAATCAAGCGAAAACAAAAAAGCACAACATCGTCACACTCTGCATGAATTTACAGAATGGGGGAATAGGACAAATATATATCCGGATGTTTATGCTCCATTGCCATACAGTGAGTACATGTTTAAAATAATTCGTACTTCACAAGGTTGTGTAAAGTTTTAAATAGCAATTTTCTATGGTACATTTTTTATGTGTAGTCACATGCGTAACTCTATGTTACATTGTATAGTAATGCTATTGTATACCTGGCCAACTATCTACTATATCGCTACTAAAGACAAGAAAATGAAGTATTTCTGTCAACATTACACATAGTTCTGCAGATAATGTTATCTAAATTATTCATATTTTAAAGGGCAACTCATCGCATGCCTTTCTCGTATAAATTTAAAAGTTGTCTACAAGAGCAACTGGCCTTAAACCGACAAGTAACCTTCAGAAGCGTATGTTCTGCAGATTTATATACAAATATATATATATATATATATATATATATATATATATATATATGTACCTATATATACCTATAAGTACCTATATTACTTTAAACCATTCTTATTTTCCCTTTCTCCTAAGAAAGCAATGGGACACAGTTTTGTTACCGTACTAAGTTATTATTATTATTATTATTTGCCTTTTTTCTTGTGGAAACCACTACGGGTTTTCACCTTACTGGGCTAACGGTGTCATGGTATGTCGGAATCGAACCGACTAAAACCATACGGTTTGTCGTCACAAGTAAGTCTATTGCAAGAGACTGGGTATACCCTTAGAAGGAAGACCCCGAGAAATTATTATTTTTCTTAAATAACCGTTCCCGTCGTGGTTTCGTTTGTTCTGAATTTTTTCCATTAGAACCCTAATTCTTTTTGTATAATAATCTATCTTTTTATTTTTTATCTTAGTTTTGTGCAAGTGAAAGTTTCCGTTGAACCATGTCTGAGATTAATAAAAATAAACAAAGGAAGAAATAAGAAATTTAAAACTCTTTTGCCGTATAATGAACCTGTAAACGTTAATGTTTTAGTACTTTAGTATTTTCACATTACAAACAACTATTTTAATTTAATTGACTTGTACGATTATATTTATACCACAATTTACTGAGAAAAGACATGAAGAGGGCAAAGAAAAAACATGTATTATATTTTACGGACAAACCTTAAAAATTTGGTGACCTAAAATTTTAATCATTCCTTTAAAACGCATGAAATCATTTCTTAAAAATGTTCAACAATTGTATGTTGTTTTATAAACGTAAGATCCGCAAAATATCATTATCTGGGTCCCTAACCTAAATGTTTCTTTAATGAAAGAACCGGTAGAAAACGTCATTAGTTGTTAGTAAATGTTTATGTTGTTGAAGAGGTGTATGAGATCAGCCATACGTCTTGTCAACATCTACAAGAAGCGAAAGTAACTGAGGCTTTTTGGCGGGAGTCAAGCTGTTTGGAGGCGAGTCGAAAGTGATCTATCGTAGCCGAGAGCCGGCGAGAGACGTCTGTCGCGCTGAGGTTACAGCTGTCATTCTCTCGTAGTGTATTGTTTGTTTTGTTTACTTATGCGAACGTGTGTTGTGTGTGACTATGGGCATACTAAAGCAGATCAAGAAAATGACCACTCATGGTTTGTTTATAAATTATTATTTACTATCGTTCTATTTTCATTTGTACATTTATTTGTGTAAATTTCTTTGCGATTTATTTTTGAAGTTTTCGTGAAATTATTATTGTTTAGAACACCTATCTCTATACATTATTAGTTCCTTTCTATACTTAATCTTATTAAATTATTTTTTAAGGAATAAAATTGATTCCTCCAAAAGTAAAAACAGGAGGACAAAAATTTCCCTTTAACTTTAAAGGGGCGCAACAGTGTTTACTTACGAGTAATCTCTTGCGTACTTGATCTAAGCTGCCCGCTTTCATGATAAGGTTGAACTCTGATAACTATAATTTAATAAATATCAATTATGAATAACCTTTGAACATCAAAGGACGTTGTGTGCAATTCAATGATTAAGTGTAATAAAAAAATTATTAGATTATCTATTATATTGTTAAAGTATTTGTTTCTTAATGCCCTGGATTTCTAAATCAATTAAAAGTGATATAACAGAAATAATTTATCTTAGTATACTAGGCAATACCAAAAGTACCATTATTTTTACAGCTATACATTTTTAAAATAGTTTATATTATCCATTATTCATAATCCATTGTTTACAGGTTCACAAAACACTCACAGTTACCCCAAAATAGATGATTTATTTTCATTGGATCCTAGTTTAATATTTTTGACGTTGTGTCCCACCCAATATTTTTATGTATTTCCTATGGATCCCAAATTTTAAAAATGCTTGCGTTTTATTATCGTTGAAACTATTTCCGTTGGACTCTAGGGATTGCTTTTTCAAATGTAAAAATATTAAAAAAACAGAGAATACCATGTCTCATGTCTGCTTGTATCATTTTACAATTTTTTTTAAGAACCGTGTGAGACTTTTGAAAAGTAATTTACCAATTAAAATAATAAATATATAATTAACTTTTATAATAGTTTCACCTAATTGAATGCACCTATAACATGATGATTTGTAATAAACCGGTTTCTTAATTTACCACCCTTACCACCAGGTATTGGAACCTAACGGGAAATTTACCTAATACCTACCTAAATAAGAAAATTATTTTCCAAATCAAGATGGAGTTCTGAAGTAACAAACATAAAACAAGTACACCTAAATTGAAAATCGCCTCCCTTTTTTGTAGTCAGTTAAAATAATCATCATCCAGAGACGACTGAATAATTCTAATTTGTATCTAATACGGGCCAAGTTTTAAATTACCATTTTTAGGGTTCCGTACCCAAAGGGTAAAACGGTACCCTATTACTAAGACTCCGCTCTCCATCCGTCCGTCTGTCACCAGACTGTATCTCATGAACCGTGATAGTTAGACAGTTGAAATTTTCACAGATGATGTATTTCTGTTTCCGCTATAACATCACATATTAAAAACAGAATAAAATAAAGATTTTTGGGGGGGGCTACGATACAACACACGTGTTCTTTTTGCTTTTCCTCTTGAAATATTTTACAGAATATTTAGTTATATATTCAATTTAAAAATAAATCATGATAAAACAAATATTTAAGGGGGCTTCCATACAACAAACGTGATTTTTTGCCGTCTTTATAGATAATGGTACAGAACCCTTCAAGCGCGAGTCCGACTCGCACATGCCCGGTTTTTTAATAATAATACCAAAAGATCACGTAATCAATAAACCAATTTTTAGGTTAAAACTATCGATTGCCGCGTTCCACTTCAATGATAAATTATGAAATGTTTAAGGTCTTACTCAATGCTGTCTCAAGATAGGCACTTGACTTGCTTAATTGAAATCCGAAACGGTAAAAATTACAGGATATATTATATTACAGGAATGGCAATAATATTACGTGTATCTGTTACTGATGATTATATCATCACATCATTACATTCTTACGCCTGTATTCCCGGAGGGGTAAGAAGAGAAGTATATTTTGCTGACTTTAACTTTAAAACGCAGGTAAAAGGGGGTGAGACTAGCACCAGCCGTCAACCAGGTCCTTTGGGAATTAGATGAGGGCGATAGAGGGAGTACAGTATGAATGGAAAAGTTGGTACGATGTAAACCCAATGGTATGAAAAGAAGTTTGCTTTATATTACAGCATGTACAGCGTACCTTGCGTATGTCGAATCTGTGTTAAGGTATGGGTTGTTGGTATGGGGTAACGGTACAGACATTGATAAGGCCTTTATAGCACAAAAACGGTGCATTAGGTCCATATGTGATATCGCTCCGGACGTATCTTGTAGGCCATATTTTAAAAAACTAAAAATCCTCACGTTACCGTGCTTGTACATCCTCGAGGTATGCAAATTCATAAGACAGCACCCTCGAACATTTAAGCAAGCGAAGGATGTCACCAAAAGGAGCAACATTAGAAATCCAAATAGACTTGTGTTGGACATGGTACCTAGGTCGAAAAGAATTCAAAAAAATTGTTACGCGATGTGCATTAAAATCTTCAATAAAATCCCAGAACGATTTAAAGAACTACCATTAAATAAGTTCATTCCAGCCCTGAAAGATTGGTTAATTACAAATACATTTTATTCGGTCAAAGACTTTCTGAATGGTGGAGAGTAGTAGGTATAATTAATAAAAGTGAAATTATAATCAATACACAAACACTGATGAATAATGATGATAATAATAATAATAATATATAATAATGTTAAATTAATAATAATAATAATAATGTTAAATTTGCATGCTATCTTTATGGCTAAATGGGCCTGTTCGCAATATATTGAACCTTTAATACCACAACATGTACCACCCCATTTATAGCAAATATATAATTTGAATTTGAATTTGAATTTGGATAGGTTTTTAATGTTATAGCCCGCGTATGTCAGAGTCGCATACGCGTTGTTGATGAATCTTCTTCTTCCGAGCCTTTTTTCCCAAATTGGGTTGGGATCGGCTTTATGTCTACTGCGATACGGCTGAACTTTGATTTTTCCCGTTGCTGATGAATTATATACAAATTATTTTAAACTAACGTCGTAATCAGTTCTTCGTTATTCGACTTGATATCGACCTTGATTTTACCTATTTGTTACCAACAAAGTACAATCAGAAAAAAAAATTGACACCAAAATCCATTAATTAACGATTTCAAGATTAAATGAAGGGATCTATTGTTATTAATATTAACCTTAACTCATTAAAATTAGGATGAAAATCGTATGCGAGTGTCATAATCTAGTGTAGTGGGAACACACGAATTTTAACTCTGTTTTAATAGAATAAGATTAGTATTTACATTTTAATAATGTTCGAGAATTTTGACGCTCAATCTGTGTTGACCTTAACCTGCAGATATGCGCTTTATCGGTATTAACGCTGGTAATTAAAGTAATATTTAATTAAAAAGTTAAAACTTAAAACCATAAAGAATCCAATAAGTAAGAAACATAACGTGGTTATTTTAAAATATTTATTAAACAGAATGTGATTTTATCTGAAGCAGTGCAGACTTCATACAGATTTCTGATTTTTGAACAACTCTCTTGAAGAAGTAATTCTACCTCCAAAAAAACGCAGTTTACACAAAACATTTAGTATACACTATTAATAATTTGTTTGAAAAGGATCTTCTGAGTTTTATTAACTAGAGATTGCCTACTAGTCGAATTTTGTTCGTAATTCATTAAGTTAAAACCGTTTTTCTATAGCCTTACATACTAAGACGGTAAATATGTACTCGTACACTAGACTCGTGTAGCTTGATATAGTCTTTTACACTTAATTTTATAATATTCACTTTTATTCTTCTAAACATGAACCTTCAGTATTTCAAATTTCACGCAGGTCGCGTCACCATCGTTCGCGAAATACTACTAAAAATGCGTATGAACAAAGAATTTTCTTAACGTTTTCACATACGAGTACAGAGACAGAAAGTTATATGTTTTTTTTATGTGTGGATACGAAGCTCACGATAAAATCAAAACTTATTCCGCTATAAAAGTATGCAAACTAACAACAATCTATTAACTTTCCATTCAGCATGATGTTGGAAATTTCTCTAATCACGAAAATTACTTTCCAAGAAACTGCCGGTCGCTTATTCTACGAGTTTGTAATACCAGTCGAGAAATCAATACTTTTTCTTACGATCTATATTTGTACTAAAAACAAGTTAAATGTCCGCGAACAGTTGTGCAAAATGAAATTCCTAAGTATCTACAACAATGAAGCGTTTACTTGCAGCATGTGGCCTTTTGTTGGGGAATTTGTTTATCGCTATGGCATAAGGTGCGGATTCCTACAGACACATATTTGTCGATTGTAATCTTATCTTTGGTACTCGAGTCATGTCGTAAGTACGTGCTTTGAATGATTATCTCTAGAAAGTTAACGACAATAGTAAGTTATTCAAATACGTACGACACATTTGTAGCAAATTCGTTGTTACATGACTAAAACTTCAAATTACATCGACGAAACAAAAAACAAGTGAACATTGTTTGCATTTGTTTCTAACGCTAAGATGGTAATTTTTAATAAAGAAAAATTATGGACACCAATGCTTAGAGAAATATGACGGTGCTTTAATTTAATACAAGCAGTTGCACTAAGGTTTGCAGCTCAGCATGTTGTTAGACGGCAATAGGTGTATTTGTGTGCGTGTGTAGGTAGTAGAATCACTTGGTCTTACTACTTGAATAAAGAAATAAAGATAACTCTTGCATGGGCATGGACCACTAATGCAAAACTTTCAATAAACATAATTAAAAAAGTATCAATGTACCTACTCCACCGTGATTGAAATTTTTGCATAAAATTTGAACTGGCAGTTTAGCCTATACAAACGAAGATTACCACGACGATAAACGAATGAGTTCTGAGGTGATGATTGACATTGAAACAAAACTAAACTCTTCAGAAATATTAACCCTAAAATTGTTGTTACTAATACTTTACCAAGTTAAGCTGCTTCAAATCCGATATCCGAATAACTGAAGATATTGATCGAAGACTGCACAGTAAAAATAGGCAAAATAATAAGTGATGTGGTGATCTGATGAGGCTATCCAGATTGATATGTCTCGCCATAATTGATGACTTAATTGTTCCTAACACCGCTCCTAACATAAGCTGACATAGTTCGACTAGTAACAAAATACTATGCAAATGCTGTGTAATAGAGCAAACACGATTCGACTATAAATAGGAAACCCTAAGATATCAGTAATAGTTTTATCAAAGTGATTGGATTGTATCAATCAATGACCTCATTGATTAGTTTGGTAGACACCTAATCAACGCTGTGCTTCTTATAACAAAAATAATAACACAACAGTTGATTTAGCTTTGTACTGACCATAATCGATCGAATGCAGCACTGATCAAGGCTTACATCGATACACCTTTTACTTCCGTCATAATCGAGTTGTAAACGACCGGTTCTTCGTTAAGTATCATCACATAACACACTCAAGGTAAATCGCCAATCATGGTATTACAACATCGATGGATACGCCAGAACGTGGTCCACTTTCCCTTTTAACGAAGATAATTACTTTATACAAATGTCCAGTAACGCTCCACGAATTTATGTTAAAAATAAAAGTAGTTATTTACTTATTTTATTCATTGCACCATTATGTAGTAATTTTATCAATAGGAAATCTTTTATGTAACATTTTTAACACGATGAATCGTTATGCCTGAAGAATTATCTTCATAAAATATGTAATAAAATATTTTACTGTATAAAATTTGCGTGTGTGGTTATGTTATGTTGTTTTGTTATCTTGATTGCAGCTACACATTTCTATTTTTTTAATAAAAAAAATTATCTTACTATGACCATTATATTTATTTTCACACTGAGCCAATTTGAATTAAATTAGTTCAATGATCTTTTATATTTTTTATTTTTTATTAAAGACAACTCCCGCATTAGGAATAAGTATATCCTGTGTCCCAAGGGACTTTACGAAAATACATGAAACGGACACAAAGAACACCCAGACTCAGAACAACAATTTGTGGATCACACAAAGTGTAGTCCCATGTACCTAGGGATCGCACCCACAGCACTTAGCGTAGTAGTAAGCGGCGTGGCGACCGCTTAAAACACTACGCCATCCGTGCGGACGATCAATGCAAATTTACAGAGAATTTTCAATGTCACGTTTGAATAAGAACTTTAAACGTGAAAGTTGGAAAGTCGTGAACTTACATTTAGATGTTACGTGACCAGCAAGAATTTAACTACAGAACATGTAGGCATTTAACTTTATTGATTAAATATTTCGTAGTCGTAAGATGATTTATTTTAAGAAACTGTTTAATTATAAAAAATATCATTAAGTAGTATTTTTTTAAGCGCAATTTATTAATAATTTAATTTATAATAGTTTGAAATCAGAAGCAATACAACTTGAAGTGTTTATATCCTAAAAAATTTACAACAGTAAAGGGATTGCTGAAACTCGTGACTTTGCTGTCAATTTTATAAACCATCCCATTGTTTTTCTATAGAATCCCCTCGAAGGTACGTGGAGAGCGACGTGAACATTCACTACAGATGTCCTGTGCGCCACGACCCTTTGCCACTGGTGCCCGAGCGGGAGCTGGCGCGTCAGCAAGCGGAACACATGAAGAGGCTATACAGGGAACAGAAGCGGAACAAATATTTGCAGGTAAATATTATATGTGTATTATCGAATGTATATTATCGTGGCAGAGCCATGTTTCGACACATATGGGCTAGGCACGGCCTTACAGAAAAAGTGTAAAACAGCTTATTCGTTGTTTTTTTAATGAGTGAGTGAGATCGACCGGAGCCCAAACCCTTCCCCCTCCCTCAGATTCTGGGGGGAGGGGCTGAAAGGGCGGAAACATCACTTGTGACTTGAGTCAGTTGTATCCATTGCATACTTTTAAATTTTTGCATTCTATTATAAACATGTATATTTAGGGCAATAAATGTTATTAATAACTATCAGAGAATAAACTCTCAGGCAATAACCTAAGAGCGACTTGACCTTAATAGGTCTTATTCAGGCATACTTAATTCGCTTAACATCAGCAAAATTGGGCGTTTGTTTGCCTATTTTATTGCACAAAAATAAATTTATTTTCAGAACTTTCTACAATTTAAAGCTATTTATAAATTTTATTCATAAGTCTAGTTTCCTTTTTAGTGAATTGTAACTCTAACTTGATATATCATAAAATTCATTGAGATGTTCACAGTTCGTAATTTCGTTTCGGTTCTACACATTTTAGTGAACAATCGATTAGTAACTGAAGCATCGATACGTGGAACCTAAACGGTTTATCGAAATGCAATTATCGTGTCAGTCAACGTACTGTGGGCGATGCGATTAATCTGGTAAAAAGGGGCGTTAGCACGCAACTGCTGTTTGATCGATATTTCGGCGATGGCCGCAATTTTATAGAACTTAAAGATAGAAGAACACATTAAATTATACACATGTAGTATTCACTTTAAGTGGGTAAGAAATAGTTAGTATTTTATTATATTTTTAAAGCTTCATATTTGTTACCTGCATCTATATTTTTATATGATACATATGTTAATTAGAAGGCTCGGATGTTCCTGCAACAGCCCATTCCAATTACAGGTACATTAGCATTACGTCTCTTTCCTACTTTTGCTTTCACTTATAATCTCTTTTTCTTCCAATATACTTCTAAGTTTTCTATCCAATTCCTAAAATGCCCGGGTTTCTATCAAGTTACGAAAGCGCAAGTGAAATTATAGTTGAAGAAATGTGGACATTTAAAAAGCCTTTGCCTATACTTTCTTGGGTATGTGTAGGTGTGACTGTATGTTGTTACAACTGTTATTAAGATAATTCAGTTTTTCTCATGATCCGGCGTATTCGTATTCGTAATATCCCCGTTAAGCAATATTCACATTACTGTCAAGTAATTTAAGTAAACGTATCTTACGCAGCCTTACGTTGAATTTAACTAGTACTCATGTGTGACCAATAGCAGGAAACGACACATTAATAGTAATCATGAAGTAACTCTCAAATTGTCGTTATTTGCAACTTACTGTGAATTTCAAAACTAAATATTATTAAATATCGCCAATGGAGATCATTATCACTAAAGAGAACCTGGATTTCACCAATTACCATTAACCATAAATATTTGGTATAAAAATTTATTTCTACGCGCAAGCAATATTTAGCAATAAGGAACTAAAAAACTAATAAAAAAGACCGAAAATTGTATTAGTTTTTGAACTCTGAGAAAAATTTCCGTCCCCTGTTTTATATTTTATGCATTATCTGATAATTCCGATACACATAGACTAACATTATAGTTACATCGGTAACATGTGAATAAATAATTATTGTTACAGTTGTTAAATATAATTAAATCAAATATAATATATCGCAACACCTCTATATAACTAACAAGAATTAAAAACGTTCCGATTTCTGTAATTAGCAAAATATAAAACAATAAGTTGCACTGATTATGACACTGGGAATAAAAACCGAATAACAAAGACTGCCTGTGTGACACTGGTACAATAAAGGAGACAAAGCATGCAAATTTTGACGTCTTTTTCTCATCAGAAGGCGAGAAAAAAAACTTTAGACTGGAAGACTGGAAGGAATGTAAAAGGACTTGAAAAATAAATACTTGATAATCTTTAATGGTGTCATGAAATCTTACGAAAAAATTATTTAGAAATAATGTTTTTAAACACATATTTTACGTCGTAAATATATATCGTATACATGTATTACTTTAACATCAACTGTGCGTGTTCTTACGGTATACACAAACTTATTTACAAGCATATCGTTAGAATGTCTTTCCGGCTATAAATTTCTCGTTATTCGTTCTTAGTAACAGGCAAAAACTTTTGACATGTGTAGGTATAACACATACATAGGTATCAAAATAGTTATAATCAGTTACATTGTAGGTCAGATGCTACCATCGAGTATAAGGACGCTTAATAAGAGAATAGATAGGTCGGCAAGCTTCAATCAATCTGAAATACTCAGATTTAAGACCGATTTGATAAGTTTGATAGAATGTGGTGTCATAAAACGTAGTGAATAATTTTATTGTGTTTTGTGCCAACCCTAAATTTAGAGCAAAATAATTGCAATTTTAATGCAAAATTTCATTGCTCGATGTTTATTTAATTTCAAGTAACTAGTAGTAGTAATAGGTATTGGCGAGCAGGGGAGAGATAAACCTACCTCGAACCAACACACCGGCACACCGGACGTGCATGTGTAATTGTTCAATGTTTGCATTCGACCTAGTTCAATCAAAGAGATAGATACATTTCACTGATTTCACCGCAATACCGCTGCGAAGGCTCGGTGAAATTGTTTGCAGATCAACCAGCTGTTAAAGCGTGCCAGAAAGTAAACACTGAGCCCTTCTAGAGAAATCTTTGACTGTCGCGTAATACTTGTCTTTCAAGTTTTTATTTACCTACAACCAGTACCAACTGTTTCACAAGAAAGAAATAAAAAACTCACCCAAACTCTTGTTATTAAAATGAAAAACAATAATCCACGTCTTGGAGGTTTATCAATGGTAATTTTAAATTCACACAGCTATTATGATAATATTAAAACAGACCAGTTACATTAAATAATAGGAATCTCAACGACCTTGTCTCCGCATACCAACTAAAAATCCGTTGACCAATTGACCACACACATTTTAGAACTCGAACTACAAAATTGATTTTCGACCTTAACAGCTTTCGATAAGGTTTGAAAATTAAATGTTAATGTTTTTATTATATTGTGGTACACATGTATTGTTAGTATCCACAAGAATGGTCCGTTTGTGGCTACTCCAGTGCGAACGCAACGTGCGTGAGAGTCGATCATGGCATGCGCGTGAATGATTTTATTTCGACATTCAACGAATGCGCAATTATAGATGCTCCGGTATTATTCTAGATTACGCGTATAGAATATTTACGAGCACAATAATAATAGTGTACGAAGATGAATTTTATAATAGAGGTAATTTTGATTTTAAATAACATTGAAATTTACAGGAAAATAATATACATCCCGAGGATATAGAGGCGTTCGATACGTCAATGAAGGTGATGTTTGAAAGCGAGTGTGACGAAGTGCTAACTGACTATTGTTTGGTTTACTCTTTACTCAAAATTTACAAATTACATCCACACGCTCTTTAACAATATTATATTTTGGCCTAACTCATTTCGTTAATCATGCTTATGCATATCCTTTCCGTAGATAAATTGGATCATTTTGATACGTATACTTACTACGTAAGATTAAAAATTAACCGAAGTATCGACGCATTTCTTACAAGGTTTCCCCAAAAAATCTTCTAAGTTTTGACACTGAAGAAATTTATAGAATATAATATAAAAATAAGCTTTGCATATATCATACAATTGTATCTCTAATAAATACATGTTACAAATAAATATATATGAATTTTACAGGAACTGCAGGACATGCAAAACCGGCGCCATCAGGACAATTTTACCCCCTCGCAGAAGAACATAATTCCAATGAACAGATATGACGAAGCTGAGAAAGTGATTGCTAAGGCTTTGTACACATTCAGTGGTCAGACATCGAGGGAACTGAGCTTTAGGAAAGGAGAAATGATCCATGTAAGGAGACAAATCGATGCTAATTGGTACGAGGGAGAACTCCACGGCAGAATAGGATTGTTCCCATATAATTATGTTGAGGTAATTTACTTACGGTACTATTTATTAAAAAATAAGATCGGTTAGGATATATAGTTTAGTAAAAATAATAAAATATACTTCTTAACGAACCAATCTCAACCAATCATCACAACACATTACATCAACAGCCTATGATAGTCCACTCCTGAACCGACGCCTCTCCTCTGAAAGGAGGACACATCAGACAATACTTATTGCAAAACTCATATTGGTCATCATTTAAAAAGCAAACTGCTTCTAATCTTGCTTCAGATCCAAAAAGGAGACACACTCCCAACAGCCAAGAAGCCCGCCGTCGTAGAGGGTCGTGCTAGAGCGAAGTTCGACTTCATAGCGCAGACAAACCTCGAGCTACCTCTAAAGAAAGGTGAAATTGTCGTGCTTACGCGGCGCATTGATCAAAACTGGTGGGAAGGCAGAAACAGCAACAAGACTGGTATCTTCCCAGATTCTTATGTCACAATACTACAAGAACCCAGTCCGAATAAACCAGGTAAGTGGACAAACAGTTATCTTTAGAAATTATACCACATATTATACTATTCATTATAATTACAAAAATAAATGTTTCTTTACGTTAATTTAAGCAAATCTAAGGTAAACTATCTGAATGTTTTTGAATTAAAAATAATTGTAGTGTTAACAGTAGAAACCGTTTTATTCAGTCTAACGCTCAGTTAATAACATAAAATAATAAGTACAACAAGTAACATAATAAGTATAAAAACATTATTTAAAATATTGTAAATTATGGAATATAATTTAAGAAACAAAATGACCAACTAATGACCAACATAACACATTAACGCTCTTGTTATGAGTCGTCTTATGACAAATAAGCAAAATATTCCGACAAGAAACAAGAAGAATAACAAATGCCTTTCATACCTATACACAATGCCATAGATTTGCGTTTTAGTATTTATTGGTTTTACATAATTTGTACTGTCATTGTATAGACTTTCCGTACCGTATATACCTAGTTTTTTACTTGTTGGCTTTTGTTTTAAATTTAAAACATATATTGAAAAAAAAAAAAAAAAACTTTTATTCATATTTTCATTCATATATTATACAAATGTATGCATGTACTCGTATATCTATTCTATAAATATAAATTAATTACTGTTCGTTAGTCTCGTTAAGGACTTAGGTATTAAATATTTCACATTTCTCTCTACGCGAAATGTGCTTAAATACGAAAAGAAAGAGTATCGTTCACGTAATAATACATACAGATTAAAAAAAAAAGTTTTAACATGACGCTCATTCAAAATTTATTGAAATTTTCCATCGTTGTTTTCAGGACCGCAATCAATACTCAGTTCAGATAAACCAGTGGCATCGCCGGCGGCCCACGGACTTCTGAATGGTTCCGCCAAGAGAAGCATGGGATCCCACAGTTACACCCCACAGCAAAATAGTCCAGCTCTTTCCAATGCCCCACCTTCCACACAACCGCTTCCAGGTTTGTAACCTATTATTAACACTTATTGTGCTGTTAAGTTAAAAATCAATAACCTTATTTCTATCGAGAGACCTATGTCCAGCAAGGAACTATTAAAGGTGATGTTGATGATGATAATGACGTTTAAAAAGCATCTGACACACTTTGCCGCACTATTTCTGGCAATTTGCCATTTACAAATGCCACACAAAGCGCAAAAAACGAAAGTCGATCTTCGTTGATAGTACACAATTAACGTGGTTTAGGATGTATTCAATGCAAATCTTGTATCACATAGACAAAAATATAACCCAGAGACAATATTACGTTATAAATTAAATTATTCTGAAGGATTACTTATTCTACACTTAGATCTTTATTCTACAAATAAAAACAATTCTACGATCATTAAAACTTGTCGATTAACGTAGTGTACAAAAGTCACAGTTAACGAAGTTATCAAACCCAAAATTAATTATTCTAAATACTATTTAAAAATATAAATGCAAATGTAAATTTATTTGTTCATGCGGGTGCTTTCATGCCTTTTTTACTTATTATGACAATGAATAGAGTACAGAAATATAACGTCCAAAACTAAAGTCAGACAATATCTAAATAAACACCTAAGTCGAAAGCTAGCGGAAAAAAAGAGATATAAAGATTATATTAAGCAAGTACCCCAGATGAATCATTAAATTCATTCAAAGATTGAAAGCAGATTCTACTGATGCTACTTTTTTTTTAATGTTTTTGTTTATAAGTTATGATTAAACTTGGAAATATAATAGTTAAGATAAGTAATACGGGTATGATATAATAATGGATTGTTGCAAATGTGAATAAATTAGCGCTCCCAGCCACATGCGGACAACGATTTATGGCTTAAGCCTTTTATGACCCAAAATATTGTGATGGTTCATAAAACAGTGTGCACACATCTCTGTAGTTAAGTGTTCAGTATACAAGTAAACTAAATAAAAAGGTCATTAAAAGTCAAAAATCTAGAACGAAATAAAGAGCGAATTTTAAACACAAGGTACTTATAACAAAAAAAAACGGAGGACGTAAGGACTACCGACAGAAGTGAAAACCCAAAACAATGGATTTACTGTGTTCTGTTTATATTTTTAAATCAATTATACACGGTGATTTTGAAAGCGTTTTGGAAAAGAAAATTTTGAGTTATTTATCAGTAACAGAAGCTATATATAACGTTAATTTAATAAAATATATTTTTTTTTATCATCAAAGTCGATATTCATATCGTTTACAGAGAAAAAGTCAGAACCAGTAGTAGTAGGCTATTCAATCACACGTAGGTAAATACTACGAATAGAAATACTATGCGTGTCACATCAAATCGTATTCGCCAATAAAAACAAAGCTACCGAGTTGCGCCGGAGTCGTCCAACCAATGACGTCTGCCCCGTAGGCGCATGCGCGGGGCTCACCTGTCATCGTCAGTCGGTCAGTAATACCATAACATCGTGACGGCACGCTGCATTGATTAGCGCTAAAATGAGTCGACAGTACGAATTTTCAAACGTGGAATACTTCTTGGCAATGGTACAGCTGTACGCTACTGCCAACTACAACTTGGAAGAGGCTCGGCGTTTGTATTCCCAAGCCGGAGCATTTAAATGCACTACGGCTACGTGGAATTGAAAGCCCTCAAATTCCCTCCACACCTACTATCTTGGCTGCAACCCAACGTCTTCTCTACCACGGACAATTTCGTGCGCCTACTCATACGCAAGGTCAAGGACGTTTTAATTATTATTCGCCGGAGTGTAGTGCGTGCATACCTGGACAATGAGCTTAGTGATCGGACTTAACGCCCCTGGATTTTTTCTTATGGTCGGAAATAAAAAGACTTGTTAATACACGGGAATATGAAAGCCGTGATAATTTACGCATTGCGATAGTGGACGCTTTAAAGTGAAAAGTGATAGAGACACATTAAGAAAATTAAAAAACAATTGCATTAATCGTGGACGTTTGTGTATTGAATGCAGCGGACTCCATTTTGAGCAGTTCCTTCGATACAGAGAACTGTAAATAGTGTAAATAGGTATGTAAGTTAATTATTCTGTAGATAGCTCCGATTTTTTAAATACGCCTGAAATATTTATACCTACAGTCCGTTGATAAATTGATTTGTTGTGAAAAGAACAATCGTGGTTAATAATCGAAAAGAAGCTTAAATAAAATAGGTATTTCTGACGGTCCTAAGCCCGTGTAAAGTATGAAGGACAAATTGGAGTCTATCTACGTAAGTACTCGCTAGCTCGCGCCTATAGGTATAGTTTTGTCAGCTGCTGTTAGCGTCGGCGGTGCGCAGCGGCCGCCGAAACGCCCACGGACGTGTTTCATTCATATAAGATAATGAATGAACGATCAGTCCATTACTACTTTCCAAGTCGATCGAGTAAAAATGAATATTAAAACTGAAACTTTTTTTTAGACAACATTACAATTGATTTAATCATTTTTATTGGTACTATAGATGATTCCAAATTCAAATATTTCGTTTCCAAAACGCTTTCAAAATCACCGTGTATAGTCTGAACGTCATAAACACAGGTCGCTATACTACACGTCCCTAGTCTGGCGCAATACGTCACAAGTATGTCGAGGTCATCGGTGACGCAAATCCATCAGTTTTTCCCCTACCAAAAATCGCTCAACGCGGCTAAAGAAGTTTTCACTTAAAAAAATATCTTAAAAAGTAAACTCTAGAGAATACTCAATATGTCGCCTGGGACATTACAAGCAGATGTCTTATGGATACAAAGAATATCCAGACTCGGAAAATTATCTCTCAGCCACTTTAAATAGGAGACATTACTACAGGGTAGAAGATATATTAAAGAGGGTTTTAGGTTATGTGACATCACTGTACGACTTTTAGAAGATGAGTGAGCATTGCGTGGCGCCGGTACTGACCAGTTGGTCTAATGCTAAGCCCGAAGTCGTAGGTTCGTTTCCTACCCAAGTCAAACTATTGGGTGATGAGCATTATCATTTGTTCTTGTCTGGGTGTAATCAATCTACATATCTATATAATCTATATATATATATATATATATATATAGCTTGGTTTATCAGCAATCTGGTTACCCGTTTTTACCGTTACAGTAAGTGATAATGCATTCGTAATACGCACAGACTCTTAATTACAGATGACTTGGGATAGAACCTTTTAGCTTACTTTAATTTATATGTATTTGAACATCTATTTATAATGTTATATAGTTTTTTTTGAGTCTATAGGAGGTTCTATATGAGGGTAATAATCACAAGAAGTGTCGCTTTTGCAACTTAATCAAATTGTTTATTACTACGAATTGGTAAAAGTAGTTTTGGTTTCCTCTAGGTCTAGGATTACGTTATGACGTACCCTGATCATTTTAGCTGTACTATCCACATTAAGCTCGTCAGTGCAAGTCGGGCTTCTATCTTTGTGCAATATCACCCTCAGTTTAATTTTGTGTCCTCTCCTACTCGTTTTTAACAATTAAAATACAGCCCGTTAACGGTTCTTTAAACAAGTTTATTTGTGTGTATTTTTATTATTTTATTATCATATTTCGTAGTAGCATACGAAATTACGAGAGCGTAAAACAATCATATAATCTCTTTTTATTGTTCTGTATCAGGTTACGTAGCTAAGCCTGCGCAGGCGACGCTCAGCGCGTCAGAGCGCGGCTATGGGCCGCCGAGCGGCGCGGGCGTCGACCTCAACAATACCGAGCCCTTGTACGTCGACACCAATGCGGAGGCCGTACCGTTAGTATATCTCTCTTATTAAAATTGAATTTTTTTTACCTACTTATATACGTACATAGACACATAAAGTCAAACCGTTTTCCATCCGAGTTAGGCAGAGACAACAGCTTTCCATTTGTCTTCATCTTGACATACCCTACTTCCCTTGCTGTCATTAGGTTATCAACTCACATTCACTTAGTTTTAGATGTACCTGTTTGTGGTATAAATTCTCTCCAATTTTAAAGTCAATTTATTCCTTTTTTCAATTAAGTCCCACCTTACTCCCAATTATGAATCGACATCAATAAGTTTTGGTTGGTTAGTTAAGTATCATCCAAAATGGATTCGGCTGCCCATTTAAACACAATATGTATAATAAAAATGTATTTACATAATAGTTATTACAGTGTTTCTTTTTACAGATTCCGCGCAATGTACAAATATCGTCCACAAAATCCTGATGAATTAGAGCTGAATGAAGGTGATACAGTATATGTACTGGAGAAGTGTGACGACGGCTGGTACGTCGGCTCAAGCCAGCGAACGGGACGTTTTGGCACCTTCCCAGGTAAGATTTTCAACGTCTCTGCTTGCCCTACATTGCAGTAATGGTTGTAAAACCTTTTACATATTACATAAATATTCACTTCAATTAATCAACAGCCAGAACAGTCCACTGCTGAACATAGGCCTCTCCTTAGAAAGGAGGTTTTGGCCTACTATACCACGCTGGCCAGACGGGTTGGTTACTGGCGCGACTGTTACAGGCGCAGAGTGGCACACCACAAAAAAAGGGTTTATTTCAAGTTTTCCTTCACTCTGCAGTGCTGTTGTCTTGCGTAATTTGCTGCCTTAGTCGGCTCGTACGACACCCATGGGATGAATAGGTGTGCTGACATTCCGTATTCTGAATTCGTCACCACACGGAAAACATATACTTAATAGACATTGAGTATATAATAGTTTGACATTGGTTAGAATAAAATAGATATAGGAGGGAATATTTGAGTGTAATCGTTTATAAGTGCGATTAAGTAAAGAAAGATGTTTTTGTACTTATTTAAAATTTTATCACCTTTACATTTCATGGTATACCCTTTGCAGGCAACTACGTGGAACGCATCTGATAGCGCGAGACGTCGCTGCTGCGGCGCCTGCGCCTCGCCACGCTGTGCGCGCGCCGCCCGCGCTGAGCGCCTCCCCCCCGCGCAGAGCGCCCTCCCTCGCACCGCACCGGCCCAGCGTCGCACGAGTAGGGATCTTGATACAGTCTGCATAGTTAACCGACTTCTTTGTTATCTACTATGGACAATATCGCCAGCGGCGAATGCATGTTACTATCGAACCACAAGTTCTTCGTATTGTCTAAGGATATATTATTAGTATATAGGTGTACGGAGAAAATGTGTGAAATCGATTGAAAGGAGGGAATGGACGCGCCGGTGTAAGATCCGATTTCCATTAAGCGTGTAATCGATCTTCTATCTGAACCCTATAGCCAAATGATACCAAAATTATGCCATGACTTTTTATAACATTTTGTACAAATTTAAGATAATTAGGTACCGTTCGACGGAACCGACATGTATGGCATCAGTTACCTACTCGACATACAAAGCTAACGTACTAACTGTGAAGTAGAATAATCGTTGAATATCGGTGTACCTATTTTCGCTTCTGTCGACCTCTGTGGTTTTGTAATACCTACATATTATTATACATATATAATCTATCTATCCAAAGTTGTTTTATGCGTCCCAAAGAGTATGTTTATCTGATAATTACGATGTTGTATAATTGTAAAAAATAATAAAAATACTTATATACTTGTAAAATTGTTTAGCGTAGTATTTATTTGTAACGTAGGGGTGAGTTGTTTGAGCTCGCCTTTTAAAAGTGATATTTTAAAAGTGCGAAGCTGGGTTACTAATTCTAAAATACTAACCAATTTATATACATCAATACATAACGTCATATCTGTAACAAAAGTCAAACTTTGAATTTGACATATTATTACTAGAAATTTTGGCGGTAACAAAGTTTAGACATTTTGTACGCATAGACAACAACTCTGTAATGCCTATTTACATAACGTACAGTATCATTAGTTACCACAATAATCGTATGGATACCTTTATATGAATTCTTAAGACTATGCAATGGTTAGTATATATAGGGCGAGTAAATAATTTGGCAACGGTTGACAATACATTATTGTATGCTTAATTTTAAATTAGCTATATTATTAAGAAATATGAGTGCTACTGATTGATCTGATGTCAAACGTTCAGACATCCATAAAATGATTTTGTATAACTAACCATCAAAAGTATTACGGTTTTAATAATAATGTCTAGTCATGAATCAGATTTTTGTAACTATATTTTTACAATGTTTAAAATTATTCTTATGTTTCATTATATTTTCTATCTAATATATGTCGTTTATACAGTCTTATATACATTTACATACATATACAATTAGCGGTAGTTCAACTTGAAGTTAAGTACCTAAATGTTCGTACTCTTAAGATTATACCAAAGTGAAGACCCCTCGCCCTATGTAAATGCTTCGTTTGTATGGGAATGCAAAAGCTTTGATTATTTTTAACCCGTTGTATTGTTGTATTTACTTTTGTTAATTTATTTTTAAAGCACAAATGTTTTATTTTGTTGTTGACACCTCGACATACAACATAACATTAACTGCTATTGTTCATCATCACACCTAATAAAATAATCTTTCTATTTAAAATGTGTTTTATTTACTTATGTATCCTTTTTGAAAATAATACAGATAATAGTACTGCCAATTCGTAATTTATGTTGCCTCAAATGAAGGCCAAATTCAAAATCAATCATCGCAAATGAATAAATGAATTAGTAATTCGTTTATTTCCTATTTTTTTAAGAAACATTTTAAATCCCTTTGTTATTAGATATTTGAAATTGCCTGTGAATCTGTGAACAATCAAATGCCGCGAAATATTACTTTATGTCGAGAGATGGCGTTGAATTAGTTAGTTTATTTCGTATTTTTTTAAGAAACATTTTAAATCCCTTTGTTATTAGATATTTGAAATTGCCTGTGAATCTGTGAACAATCAAATGCCGCGAAATATTACTTTATGTCGAGAGATGGCGTTTCACTACTGAGAGTCCAGTTTACCTTTACAGTCTACAAATTTGAGCTTTGAGAAATGATGCTTTTAGCATTCAAATCCAATTTTGCAACAAAATTGGCCAGCTATTGCAGATAAATATATTTCCTAGTGCTTTTGGAGTGCTTTCTAGTCACGCGTTAAAGTTGCTGGAGAACTGCTTGGCAAATAAATCCGAAATTTGTACTGTGGTTTAAAATATTATACTTTTAAAACAAACAGTTTTTTTACATACAATATTTACCTAATGTAACAGCTGTTCTGTATTATAGAAAAAACCTATTTATTTCTTTAATATGGCAATGACTGGCTTTTTAAACATTTTTTACGAATAGCAATATAATAAAAGGAGTTGCCTAGCAACGGCGGGTAATTCAAACATTTCGATTCACTGCAGATAGTTGCAGATATGAGTCACACTTATTGAGGTTTATGTGAAATAAATACATGGTTATATTCATAAAGGTGGCAATTAAAACATACCCTTAAAGTAATATACAAAAATGGTAGAAACAGACTGGAAAGAAATATTAAGTTTCTCTCAGAGGGAACTTAGTTTGGACGACAAAGAGAAATTGTGTGAAAGTTTGTGCTGGATGGAAGCGGATGATATTGAACTAAATTTTACCGATTTAAAAACTTTGTTTAGACTAGCTCAAGATATATTGAAACTGAAGAGTGAACAGGTAAATAAAATGATTTGAAAAAAAAGTAGTAAATAATATATCCATCAACATTAATTACTTGTAAACAATGTTACTGAGACATATACCAAATATAAATAATTTTCAATAACCTTCAATAATTCAATAAAATTCTATAAAATAATATAATTTAAATTATTGTATCGCTTTGTTCGTTTTTCTTTTTAACTATTAGAGTCAATTAGTGATGACCTTAAGTTTTCTCGATTCGATTAAAAATAACAATCGATAAAATTTAAGAGGAAATTGAAATCGTTTTGAAAATTATAATAGGTTTATTTCAGCTAAGTACAAAGACCAAGAGTATTTAATAAGTTTTAGACAAATCTGAATCAGATTGTCTAAAACTTATTATCGGAGATATGTTATAATTATATTATTAATTGATCATTGATCAGTATTACCTCACGACACTATTTTATTTTCTATATAAAAAATATTATTTCAAAAGATTTAGGTTAGGTTACTTTCTTAAGAAACTGTTAAAAAAACTAATGGACACAGTAGAGAGTCATGTTTTCTTAATCTATGATACAGGTAAATAATTTAGACGGCCAGCTAAAAGCGACTCAAAGAAAGACCAGTAAAACGAAAATCGAGAGCCCATACGCAGGTAAACATGAATCGTTCAATTTAAAATTACATCTACGTGAGTCCCGTTTGTGCGTGTCCCCCTAAATCCTTCCCCCAGGGTTTTCGATAAGCCACCCCACCACACAAGTGTCGGAATAGAACTGACTAAAACCACATGCTGTTCCATACTACGCTTATGGCGGCCTCCGAGAACAGATGTTCAACAACACAGCCGAAGTCCACTTGTGTTCCTAATCTGAACTTACATGCGCTTATTAAATAATTTCTTGCTGTTTTATGATAACTAAAACATACGTTACTTTATTTACGTTCACATTTAAAATGTTATGTATATACAGAGTGACAATTCCAATAATATATTAAAATTGTAAATGACTGATTGATGATATATTATAATCAAAATTTTAAATCAATTCTTAGTATCGCCAACACAGAGCAATGACAGTGCCCTAGAAACAATAACACACCAAGAAGAAATTATCCGCGCGAACAAGGAGATACTAGAACAACTATACGCCGACATCGCTGATTTGGAATCAAGGAAAAGTAAATTAGAAGAAAGTAGAAGCAATCGTGATATAGACAGTGAATCCAGTCGCGATGTTTTATCAGAAATGAACGAAGTTGCCGAACTTGAACAGGAAGTTACAAAGAAGAACAAACACATTAGAAAATTATTAACTGATGTCAAAGTAAGTTTTTTTATAGATATAGGATGCAAACGTGCAGATGTTTCACCTGATGTTAAGTGCATTGCAAGCAAGCAATAGTGGTGCATAGTAAGTGGTAACACATGCATCTCAAGGGCCACAAAGCGCCCTTTGAGTCACCGCTCCCTCCCCCATATTAGGAAGGGGGGAGGCTGTTGGGCCTCCGGTACTATCATTAAAATTTACTCGGTGAAAAACAACAAAAGAATTGCTTAATACTTTTTCCCTGGTATCACTGGTCGAGTCGCCACACATGTCTTTGCATGGCTCCCCCACAATTAATTGAATTTGGTTGATTGAATTAGTTTAATTTCATTTGTTGATTATTTATTCGTACATTATCAATACAACACAATTCTCATAATCAATATAGTTATACAGCTATCAAACATTTCATAACATTTCCAATCCCTAAACTAGGTACGTAGACCTGTATCTTAGGGATCAGAGTAGTTTTCGATGTCTACATTTTATAGCAACCGTGACATTTTTAATCTTTGCTGTGGTGACATAAATATGCATCAATATATTAGGTACTTACGGATAATGGTTTGTGTATAGGAGAGTGTTGTGTGAGTACACAGCTGTACAGGGTTAAGTGTGGAGTGGGTGAGTGAATGTATGATAATATGTTTGGTGTGGTGTGTTTAAGTTAGGCAAATTATTTTATAATACTCTTTCTAATATAAGTTGATATACTACATTTATATTCATACTTCAATTTTGTCTTTCATATAAAATTTCTTGTTAGATTCTAGAAGATGAGAACACAAAGTTAAAAGAGAAGGTGTCAATTCTCAAAGAGAAATTAACAGAAGCCACTCAAATTATAAGTAGTTTAACTGAGCAAATGGTTACGATCAATAATGAGTGTGGTCAGCTGAAAGGTAACTTTGAAACCATCCTAACTATATAATTTAAGTACAAAAGTGTCCCTAATTCTTTAGTATATCATATTCGTTCGATTTTGAAGTATGTGGAATACTATTAATGGCGGCCCATTATTTCCGGCCGTTGACAGCAAAATTTGGTTTCTTTATTCTCAGTATATCCTCAATGCACAAATCTTTCGGTAACATCACTAACCCATGAAGGCAGTAAAGTTAGTTATCAACGGCACTTTTTTTATGGAAGAAGGGGCAAACGAGCAGACGGGTGACCTGATGGAATGTGACTACCGACTACCGCCGCCCATTAACGTCTGCAGTATTATATTTAAAATATTCAATAACTGGTATGACCCTGGAACAATATTTTATACTCTACTAAATTGTGTGTTTATATAACAACTTAGAATAGACATCTTTATCTAGTTATGAGTTTTGAGATCCACTTAGTAGGTTGTGGTATCGTTCTAATACTTAAGAACTATATTTTCGGATGACTGCAGATATTTTAGGCCAATCCGAACAGCAAAAGGCCCAATTATCAGTGGATATTGAAAATTTAAAAAAAGAACTATCTGAAAAGGATTATAAGACAGTAAATGTTTACCAAGAATTGAAGTCCAAGGTTCAACACTGGAAGGTAACTGTTTTAGTATTGACGTCTTTACTGAAAAAAATATTAATTTGAATTTTGATCATTAATTTAGACTGAACTTTTTTTAGAACGTTGCTAAAGCAAAGAAAATTGAAGCTGAAGCCCTATCTAATGAAAATCTACAGTTGAAAGAAGATCTTTTGCAAACTACAAAGCCGTCCTTAATTACGTCACCAAAAGTAAGTAAAATTATTTTAGATTAGGTACTTTTGAATGTTACACAGCAAAGTTCTTAATAAGAAGTTATTTATTTACTTGTATAACAGAAAAATGATGCAGAAAGAGAAAAAATAAAGGAGTTACAAGATAAATTAATTGAAGCTTCAACTGAAATTGAAGAAACGGCAAATTTAATTGACATGCTAAGAACTGAAAATAGACAACTGAAAGCCCTTATAGAGGAAATTCCAGATGGTTCAACTTCTGAACGTAAGAATGAGAGTGACGATGGCAAGGAAAGGGCCATTATTACTAAATTAAGAAAAAAGATTAAAACATTAACAGCTAGTCTGCAGGCTGCTGAGGAAATGATAGCGGCAAGGGAAAAAGAGGTATTTTAATTAATTACTCACGGTCCCGTTGTTCACAGCCACAGCTTCTCTATTCGTCCGTTTTTTCGTACACAATGCATGAGAAAATTAATTTCCTTTATATATATTTTTTTTTGTAAATTTTAAAATATTTTAGTACTTATTCTGCTATTCGAGTCTGCTATGTAGTTTGGATGTCAGTATTGTCATTATTTGGCATCTAGATAATTATAATGAAGGCAACTGCATGTGGAGAATGAAGCTGTAGTGGCTACTAGTATTCCTCTCGAGTTTTGGCTCACACGATTCGTATTTACGCGTCTATTAGATTGAGCTTGATAATGATGGTTCGGTCCTTACGAGGATCCATTAAAGCATTTTTTCAGTCATCGTCATCCCAGCCGAAGAACTGCTGAACATAGGCCACCCCCAAGGTTCACCACACCAACTGGTTCTGTGCTGTCCTGTTTAGTATTACTAAAATATTATTATTTCCATTTATTTCTTATTTAGTTGCTAGAAATCACATCCCAACTGCAGCTTATACAATCCGATGAAGGTATAAACACTTTATTTGAAGGATTGAAAAGTAAAAAACGACAGTTAAAGCTTAAAGAAGAGGGTATCAAAAACTTAGTACAGGAAACAAATAACCTAAATCAACGTGTCAACGATTTACAACTTCAAAATGAAACTTTAAGGTTAGTACATGTACATATTGTGGCAACTCCAAGCTACCAGGGAATTTAAAAGAAAAAACATTTCTAGAGTTCTCCTATGTTAGGTCTAAAACAATCCATAGATAAAGTTTAAGTTTTTTTTAATTCCAGACGAAAGTTAAACATACCACTCGATGAAAAAATACCGACCGAGGGCATAATGAGGGAATATTATGATTTAAAAAATAAGAATTCAGAAATTCGAAAAGAATTAAAGAAACTTGAAAATAAACTCGTTGAGCTAGGATTAAATAATCATATTTTAAAATCTCAAGTATCAAATTTTTCGAAATTCTTAATTCAAGAAGGGCACACAAAAGATAAGATAAAAGAAATCGCACAAGCCGAGGACGCGGAATATTTGACGACGAAAGATAACACAGAAGAAACAACGAGGTAATTTGTATAGTGTAAGGAGATAAATTAACATTTAGAATAGCATAGTTCTATGATTTACAACTCTACGACAATCACCTTCAATTTTTATAAAACAGGTAAATACATAAAGTTTAAAATAACATATTGCATAACTGGGTATGTTATATTTTTGTAAATAAAAAGTAGTCATCTATACAAGTATAATAAAGCTTTAGATTTGACAAAGCAAAGCGGGAGAATCTGATTTTTTAGAATATGTTTTACCATTCATATTGTTACAATATTGAATACCATTCCAACAATCGACGAATAGATAACGCCCTACTTAGGATATCTGTAATCCACTCTTCCTTGCCTAGGAAAAAATTATCGCCTATAAATAAGCAAAGCAAGTGTGACGATATTGAAAACCTCGAAAAAGAAATGTTCGTTCTCATCGAAGAAAATAAAGGACTTCGCAAAGGACTGCAAGAAATGTTGGACTTCTTAAAAGATAATAGTATGTGTTATTTCTATCAATCGAATGCATAGTATTGAATCGATAATAATATTTATCTGTACAATAATTTTTAGGTACAACGTCTTCGGGTGTATTAACACTACAATGCCCAAGCTTGGAATCAATATTGCTATCGATGGAGGCGCGAAATACTGCGGGTTGGTTTGCTCCACATATGACCACGGTGATGGAACTACGAGCCGCCTTGGGAGGAAAAGATGCTCTACTAATTGCTTTACATGAAGCTAGGTGATTTAATTGTCTGAACTTTGATTAGAAGCATACCAAGATTTGGTGGGTTCCGCACCTCAAAGTGAAAAAATGGACCCTTAAAGGATCACTTTGTTGTCCGTCTGTCTGTCCGACTGTCTGTCTGTCTGCCAAGATCCTTTGTCACGGGAAGGCGGGCAGGTATCGAGTTAAAATTAAAACCATATACTCAGGTCTACTGTCAATTGAAACTGTGAAAAAAAAAACTTCAAGGTAAACGTAAAAAAAGATACGTCCGTTTATATCGTAAAAAACGCATATTTCGACAATCACAAAGGAATCAAAATTTATAGGGCACTTCACGTTGACCTTAAACTATGAAATTTAGCAAGTAACATCTTATTATACTACAAGTCCTTATTAAATCGTAAAAAGTATAGTCTTTTTTAAAATATATATTCAATCATCGAAGTACAATTTCACTTATAAAACACAATGATAAAAATAAATATAGGTTTCTTGAAATTGAAAATGAACCCTCGGTGGGCGAGTCCGACTCGCAGTTGTCTTTTTTGTATCTGAAAACCCTCGTCACCTGATGTATAGTGGCATGTATAGGTGGTATGTAAAAGCCACAGAGTGTTTTATTTCCAGATTTTAAGGCAGGGAGATCAGGTGTACCCTAAAAAGGAAATCCTGGTAGCTTTAGACGCCTATTAAGCATGGCAATCCCTGCCCAGAGGCCTAAAATCGTAGTTCCACGTTATATTTTTATGCATGCATACATGATTTAACGCATTACTAGTACGATCTTGACCTGACCACGACTGTGAAAAAGGCCAGTAAAACGAGGTCTATTCATTTTCTATCATCTATATATCTCGTAAAACATAACTATATATTAACCTGTAAAATGTTTTTTTCGAAATGCCTAGAAAAGAAACCTTCGATGTAATGGCTCAACTAAATGAGGAAACGAAAAAAACTTCAAAGCTCGAACAAAAACTTAACGAAATGGAACTTATAAATAAACAAAAAGAAGAGGATGAAAAGCGAGTAGAAATTAATGCAGATGTTTGCGAGTTTGGAACGTGGATATCTGATAAAGAACAAAGCAATATTAACTTTCATGATCAATCTGAAATAGAGAACTTAACACAAAAAGGAGCCTCTTTATATGAATGTCAGCTAAAGAAAGGGCTAGAATATTTTCATCACAAATTTAAAGATTTATTTGATAAACTCACCACTATGACCATCCAAATGAGTGATAATCGTAATAGCTGGTCGATTCAGGAAGAACATTATAAAGCTGAAATTGAAAATTTAAAATGTCAAATACAACAAGACGATGATGATTTTAGCGATCTATCACCTGGTATGATTCCAGTAACGAACACTAACTCCTTGCAAAGGAAATGTTCCTATTTAGAAGAGGCATATAGACATATAAGGACTTTAAACGAAAACATGAAAAATGAAATATTAGAAACTAAAAAAGATGCAATGGTAGCAACTTCAGATTATGAAAATCGTATCCAAAAATTAATACTTTCTGTAGCTAACTTAACAGATAAATTACGTTATTCGATATCGTATGACCTGTTTTGGAAACAAAACTTAGCATTAAATGAAGTTACTTCAAAATATAGAAAGCTTTTGGAAAACAACATGAGCAGCAAATATAACTCCGAAAGCATATTAAAATGTCTAGAAGATAGCAAAACAGATATAATAAACCGTATTCAAAGAGAGTTTCATGTCCAAAATGGTAAATATTTTTGCTAGTATTTCTGGATTATTAACTGCACGCTCTTCGCTCAGTCTCTTTTCATTTCATTCTTCATGTCATTTTGAATTTCTTCATATTTAGGAAACACTACAAGTACCGCACCGAAGATCGAATCTAATATCGAAGCCTTGGTTTTACATAAACAATTAGAACAATTATCATCCGTAATAAAAGAAAAGGATAACGAAATAGACAAACTTCATTTAAACATTGCAGAACTCCAGGAAACACAAGGAAAAATAATGTAAGATGATAAAGATTCTATTTATTAAATATATTTAGCTTTGTCGAATAACTTCAAAAATATTTGTGTATTTTGTCTATAGACAACTTTAAGTATGTATACTACTAATACAAAAGCTAACATGTACCCTTCCTATGTAGTAAGAATAGAAAATTCACTCAGAGACTTCAATATAAATCATGACAAAATTGTCGTAAGCTATATTCTTCATCTCTTAACTATCCAGCCTCAGAGGTAGAATATATTCTTGAAATGAAATGATATTTATATCTGCAAGTGCTTCATATGCCTATACCTTATAAGCCTTTTCAATACAATCATTATTTCAATGGAAAAATGTTAATATAACACTCACATTAAAATCAGTTTGATTGGAAACCTCCTCGTATTTAAAGTCAGTTAAAAATACTATCATCCCGTGGGTGTCGTAAGAGGCGACTAAGGGAGCAAACTAAGCAGGACAACAGCACTGCAAAGAGAAGGAAAACTTGAAACAAACCCTATACCAACCCGTCTGGCCAGCGTGGTATAGTAGGCCAAAACCTCCTTTCTAGGGAGAGGCCTATGTCCAGCAGTGGACTAGTATAGGCTGTTGATGATGATGAAAAATACTATCACAAAATCATTTTACGTTATTTGTAATAGTGTAAATCTATTTCAGTGATGAAAGCCTTGCTTCCATGACAAAAGAAGACATAAGTTTGATGAAGGAGCAGCTTGAAAAAATAACAGATGATAACAAAATCTTGCAGGAACAATGCCAACATACAACCAGCCAATTAGATATCGCATTATTGCAGGTAAGTACTCGTAGCAAATGAAGGGAGTATCTTGAGATAAAAATTAATGGTATTAAACGTTCATATATTTTAGCTACAAGATACTCAACAGAGACAGATGAGTAGGGATATAGAAATCAATATGCTGGAACATCAAATTCTAGATCTACAGTCTACAAGTGACAGCAAAGCAATTATGTCAAGGTATGAGAAAATATTCATTAAATGACTGCGCGAATGGCGTAGTGGTTTAAGCGGTGGTTTAAGCCACGCCACACCACTGCTACGCTGAGTGTTGTGGGTCCAATCCCCACATGGGACGACGCTTTGTGTGATCCACAAATTGGTGTTCTGAGTTTGGGTGTTCTTTGTGACCGTTTGATGTATGTTTGTAAAGTCCCCCGCGACATAGGATTTATTCCTAATGCGGGAGTTGTCATTTCAAAAAAAATCTATCTATCTAAAAATATATATATCCGTATTCTCGATAATTATTAAAAGTCGTAAAAAACAAACTCAGTCGGAGGTCTGCGCGTACTTAATCGTGGTGGTACGTAAGCTAGTTTGAAATGAATCAGCAACATACGTGCAAAATTTGTATTGTATTTTCAGATTGAGTGGCGAAATTCTCATAGCTCATCTTCAAGCCTCTGAAAGTTATAAAAGAATAGAAAGACTCAGTTTAGCATTAAACAAGGAAAAACTGGCTCGTGAAGAAGCCGAAGAAATGTTAAGAGCCCGACAAAAAATATTTGATGTTTATGCGTTAAGATATGAATCAAAATTCAGGTTAGTATTATCGCTTCTTAAGATTCTGGGAGCAGTACTTCGGCTACCACGATCTCACAGAAAACCGGTTCTTTCATTGCTATTTACTGAGTGAGGAGGTCACAGGGAGCCCCTGCCTCTAGGGGGGGACTCAGTGGAAGGCAACGTACCTGTTATTTGAGTTATATGTGTCCATCATGACCAGTCTGGACGTTTGCGGGTATGCCTCCTCTACCTTAAGAAAAAATGTCTTGCATTACTTTTTTGTTCGTTTCTAATTTATGTTGTGTGTCTTTTTTTTGTTGACGGGGTGGAAAACCCCCTCGGATCTCCGGCTCCTTAGGGATGTAGGAGCCAGGAGTATGTGGTGTTTCCACTAAAAACCACCCCGACGTCCGGACTCAGGCGCCCTACTCCGGGGAGGACCCGGACCATGTTGTTTCAGGTCCCCCCGGATCGACGCTGAGCTTAGCCAGGCCCTATCTCGGGCAAGAAGGCTTCCCCGCCTATCGGCCAATCCTTATAGTATGTTGCGGCCCGATCGCATTTTTGCGACGAGGCCGCCATCCTGTCGCCTACCGCAACAGTTAATCTGCCACCAGAGGTACCCACTCTCTGTCAGCCTGCGGCCCCGTCGACGGCATTGTGCCGTCTCCTCGCGTCCAATCCGATTCAGGTACTCACCGAAACAACCATGCCCAGTCAGTACCTGCGTCAATCGGTAGGTGACGCGACCTACCTACCCAAGCTTCGAGGCTAGGCAGAACGGCACCGACCGCGCGTTGGAGCGCATTCATGTTGTGTAAGTCGATGATAGCATTATATTAAAACTTCCATTATTATTACAACATTTCAGATACATTTTTGATGTAATGCAAACATTAAGACATCAATATCAAGGATGCATACCTCGTGCTTCAATTGAAAATTACTTAAATGAGATTGAAGAACTTTCACGTAAGAATCATGATGTAGATGAAAAACTAACTGAAGTGGATGATTTACGATCGCGTTTAATCGCAAAACATAGTATATTTGACCAAATTTTAGACGTCTCTAAAGATAAGTGTTTAATAGAAGAAGATAGTTGTCCACATAAGTTGAAGTATATTGTAACCGTAAGTTGAATATGCTAAATCTATTTATCAACTACGTACTTGGTTGTGAGTGGTACTTATTTATAATGTAAAACAAAATCTAAATCTATTCTAGCAATCGATTAACTCACGAGAACTGGAACATACCAATAAGAAGTTAAAAACTTTAGAGCAGTCACGTGACGATATTATTAAGCATTGCAATAATCTAGAAAGAACTTTGGTACTAGTAAATCAGGGCTTTGAAAAGTCTAATGTTAAGCATAACCTAAAAATCGATAATGGAGATAATCAACAAAGAATAGAAGTTCATAATTTAATGTTAGAAGATATACAATCGGACGAAGAGTCAGATTCTTCAGGTGGTAAGTAAATATGTTGTAGAAATAAGTTTACATAATAAAATCAATGTATTCATATACTTTATTGTCTACTTTTAGGGAGTAAGACTATCACACTGTCAAAACCCCAAATACTAAAACAGCCACAATCGATGACAAAACCCCAAGACGATATTGTAGAAACCGTTAAAGATTCTCCAATAAGAATTAAACCTCAAAGCCCAAAGCGCACTTTTGCTGACGTGTCTATGCAGACAACACCTAAAAAAGTAAAAAAAATAAATCAATTAACACAAACAGACGAATATAAAGCCATTAACGAAATGAAAACTCGGATGGATAATCTTCAAACTGTCCTTGATAGAAAAAGTAAAGAATTGACTGAAGCTATGGTGTTAATACAAAAACGATCAGAGGAAAATCTAAAGTTAAATAAAGAAAAAATAGGTTTTGAATATTCTATAGAAAATCTTAAGGATTCAAGTACTAAAAAAGATAGTCTAATAGAAAAACTATGCTCAACTATAGATGAGTTAAGGAGACAAGTCGATGAATTAAAAATAGTGCAAAAGACAGAATCAAACAGAATTAAAGATGATATGCACGAGGAGAATAAATCTCTACTTCTAGCATTACAACACTTGGAAAATGATAAAAAGGCTATCGAGACTGAATATAAAGAGTTATTGAATAATGAAAGAGCAGAATATACAAAATCTGTTAAAGAATTACATACACAGTTAATGGAAGTACAATCCAAACTGGATAGGTATTTTAATAACAATTAAGTAAATTTTGCAAATATGTTTATATTTGCAACAATAAATTGGCCTAGAATGATGAAAAATCCCTCTCTGATGTTTAAATTTTTTTACAGACGTGGGAGTGAATCTAACATCTCTAACGGAGAAGCCTTTAAAGAAATCGTTACAAAATATACAATGAAAATCGCTGAACTCGAAGATAAGTCCTTTAAGCTGCAAAGCGAATTAGATGAATGTAAATCTGAATTGTTAGTACCTAAATATTTCCTACCTAATTTTTTACGTCTAAACAGTATGTTTTTAAAGATGCTTCTGTTCATATTTCTCTAATAGAATATAATTTCTATTTTTAGAACGAATTACCAAAGTGAAGCAGAAAGATGGAAGGACTTAGCCGCAGAGAGGCTGACGAAAATGGAACAACTGAATTTGCAACTCGAAGAACGCCACTGTCAAGAGGTATTTTTTTCTTTTATTATTAGTTTTTTTATAAGTATCTTCAAATTAATCTTCTAAATGATTAAACTACCTTTTTTTTGATCTAGGTGAAGTCCTACAAAGCTGAAAATCAACATTGGCTCTCACAAATTAATGACATGCAACGCGAACATCTGGACTTGAGAACGAGGCTGACGGATCAGAAAACCGCGTACATCAAACAATTAGCGGATAAAGATTTACAGATAGAACAACTACGAGTAGTTATAAATAACTTAAAGGTAACGCTAGCTGTAAATAAGCAATATATGCGGTTTAAATATCAATTTATTTCTCAAGATTATACAAATCACTTACAAGGAGAAATAAAATACCACACACCAGGTAGATAGTTACAAACTGATTTTAATACAATGTAGGTACTTCTTAAAATTAAGTTGTCCCGTCGAATGCTAGTTTGTAGTGGAGCAAATATAATACTAGGTTTATACGTAGTAAGTATTTAAAACAATAACAATATATACAATATCTTATTCATACGCTAAATATTAGTAACCTTTATTTGGTTTGTACTGCAGACCAACTCTTCATTAACAACAACTTAACTCTTCATTTACAAGTAGCAATCCTTTTTCACTTTCGCCTTGGGCCTTTAGCCGTTTATTTAGTCTTTCTCTTTTCACACACTACCTCAATTTAATAATTATTTATTAAATTGAGGTAGTGTGTGAAAAGAAATAAATAAGAACCTAAACGCCTGATAAAAGTATGTAAAGTAACATCTGAGCATTTATATCGTTGCGTTCCAATTTTAAATCCATGTTTGTAATTTCATATTTCGAATAATCTCTACACAACCTACTGTACTTTACCTTTGAACCAAGTTTTACTTTACAAGCATTAGAATTTCAGCTGGTTTATAACTGTCTGCCTAACGCCAATTCACCTAGGGGATGTAATAATTCTCAGACGGGACAAGGCAAAAAGTAAATAATAATACTAATAAGTAATACTTTCCAGACACAAGTAATGAATATGCAAACTCTAATATCGGTGAATGACCCAAGTTTTGATCTGTCCGCCATCGTGGAAGTTGATGAAACTAATGATGTGCTATCACAACATGGCTCTGATAGACTAGAACTGAAATTTGATTCCACCGTGGACTTTCATGAGTCACAGGATGAAATCGTTCGAATACCAGCCTCTTCCACAACTATATGGTAAGTCTAAATATTTGTGTATATCATGAAAGGCTAAAACATTTGGCAGATTTATTATATTTTATATCTCGTATACTCAAACTACTAATACAGAATGGTACGGACAAGTAATCAAATTTTCAAAGAGGTATATGAAACCAATAGTTGATTTAAGTCAGTTTCAATATGCGACTTACTTTATTTACGGGGTCTACAACTGAATCCTAAAATATGACTACTATTGTAATATATAAAGCATTATATATTCAAATCTATACTAATATTATAAAGCTGAAGAGTTTGTTTGTTTGTTTGAACGCGCAGATCTCAGGAACTACTGGTCCGATTTGAAAAATTCTTTCAGTGTTAGATAGCCCATTTATCGAGGAAGGCTATAGGTTATATATCATCACGCTAAGACTAATAGGAGCAGAGCACCAATGAAGAATGTTTCAAAAACGGAGAAAATTTATTACTATTGAGAGACGCAGACGAATTTGCGCGGGTCAGCTAGTCAATTCAATAAATCCTTAATTTAGAACCGGTTCCTGATCTGTTTGATCCTCTATAATTGTAAATATTTTCCTATAATGGTAAACGCAAGACTAAGTACTATTATAATCAAACTAATTGCATACGGTGGTTATACGCGATCGATCCGTGGACGTGGATCGGCTTACACCTACGAAGTCAACATACTTATTTTGAAGTACTAAATCTGATTTACATTATCCTTTTATGATATTGTTACAGGCAAGAACCAGTAATAGAGCGTTTGCGTCGTGAAAAGCAAATGGCCAGTAAGCAAAACGCAATACTGAGACGTCAAATCAAAATTCTCGCTGCTAGAGAGAGACGAGCACGCCTTGATGCTCAGAATCTGAAGAGTCAAGTATTCAGAATGTTAGTTGTTGGTACTATTTAACGTTTGCTCGTGTTGTGTTCTGTAACATAATATGTGCAAAATGGTTGCCATAGCAGTGTGTGTTTTTTTTTTTACTACATTCACACAACACCATCTAGTCCCAAACTAAGCAGAGCTTGTACTATGGGTACTAGACAACTAATATAAATACATATATACTAATCTTCGTAAATACATACATATTATACATAGAAACACCCAGACCAAATCAAACATTAAATGTTCACACACACAAATGTTTGACTTGAGCGGGAATCGAACCCGCGACCTTAGGAATCCATTACACAAACCACTACGCCGTTCGGTCGTCAAAAGTGAGAGAGTGAGTGAGAGATGAGTGAAGCATATTATTATTATATTCATAAACAAATGATTTTGATGAAATGATAACTTTAGTCATTATTAAAGGAAAGGTCATTATTAGTTCATCTGTATATTATTTTATCTGTCTACGAAACACCAACCACCGAAACAGAAATTCGGGAGCGTTTCCCTCACACCACACAACTTAGGACGCAATTTTTTTGAATTACATTTTCTATCGTAACTAAAGCAAAAAAGTGACACTGTTTTGGTTACAGTAACACAAATGGGAATAAAGTAACATCATCAGAAACGGCAGGTCTCCACAATAAGATAGCGTCCCTACAAGCGCAGTTAACTAGTGCTAGAAGAGACACACACTCCAGTATCGCGCTCTGGGACAAGTGGAAGAGGTTTGTAGACGTAAATCCTTAGGAAAAAATCTGGTAGAGTTGTTTTGCTAGAAAGGTTATAAATACAAATCATTTTGGATGATTTACGATCAATACAATTTTTTTGCCAGTTTCTGGATCGAATTATTTCTGCACAACTCTGTTTAGTAGGTATAACCACTTCTTTTTTATATTAATTTATAATTAATACAATAATTGTCTAAAATAATAGATCAACAAGTAATATTTAGATTCAGATTAATTCATTTTATTTAATCCTCTAACAACGGAAAAGACAGATTTTTGAGCATGTTTTTTAATCATTGTGAATCAAGAATGATGATTTTAAATTGATGTAGTTCTTACAATTATTTTAGAACTCAGACATGTGTTTAATGCTATGTATGTAAGTAATAAATGAAACACAAATACCTACAAGTATTTTTCTACTCGGTCACGAAGACAGTAGTGGTTTCCAGGTTTCGATTTGCATTACATACATATAATTATAGTCAGTTCAAAATTGTGAATTCAATAACATTAGTTCCCACGGTCTGTGTTTATATACTTACACGAAGAAGAATCTATGAAATTTTAAACAAATATTTTAACTTAGAGGAACGAAATCGAGTCATGAATGTCGGTTTTCGGGACCACTTATTTCTAAATGTTAAAAAACAAAAATAACAAAATATTGAATGCATTTGGTATTTTTACGAAAATATCTTTAAAAATAAACATCTTACAACCGACTACAATTTAAATAATTTATCTCATTATACACCTGCCACACACAAATCTCTGCATCACCCCAAGGTTGACTGGAAGAAAATGCCTGCAATGCAATGTATTTGCAGGAAGTATAAATAAATAATATTCAACATACCTTTTAGATCACAACAAGCAGCAGATCGTTGGCAGGCTCGCTACGAAGAGAAACATCAGGAAGTGTTAAAATTAGAAGCCAGTCTACACCTTGCCAAGTCCGCTATAGGAAGACTAGAAAAAGAGAAGAGAATACTCTTAACTAGACTGAATGAAGCGAAAAGTAAATAAATTACCTTTTTACTCAACGGTTGGAAAGAAAAACTGCGCAATAGTCTAACGACGTAGATAAATTGTTGAAAACAATATTCTTCTACACCTTGCAAGTTCACCTTTTCATAGAACTCAATTATGTAAACGATGCTCATACAAAATAATAAATAGTGAAGATTGTCTCGTGCTCTAATTTCCACCATATCTCATTCGTATTGAGTTGAGTTTTGATTGTTCTGTTTTATTCATTGACCACTATAACTTGAGCCGTCATCGTTCACTTTTCCATATGTACTGTCAATAAATTGGTCACTTGTAGGTATTTAAACTGGTTTTCATGTACTTACATTTCTAATTTATAAAAACATAGACTTCTATATTTAAACTCAATATTTTTAATTTTAAGCTAAATTTTCTTTAAAATGTATTCAATGAATTTTTTCTATATTAATTTATGTAACAAACACTTGATACCAAATTATAACAATGTGTTATATATGTATATTTAATTTAGCATTATCATTTTGCATTATTCTTTTAGAATTTTTTTTTTTTTAGATACCTACAATTAACTTTTAAACTTTCGCGTTCCATGATAATTAATATTATTTAACGGGAATTAACGCGATCTCTTATTTAGGGTATTACATACCTTTGGTAATACATACCTTATTACATACCGTGGTCACAGGCTGACTCAGCCTGTGACCACGGCCGGTGCAACCTGGTCGAAACGTCAGGCAAACCAAAGGTATGTAATACCCTAAATAAGAGATCGCGTTAATTCCCGTTAAATAATATTAATTACCTACAATTAATATTCTTTCTTAACTGCTACTAGTAACAATCAAAACACTAAAAATTATCTTAATCGTCTATCTAAATCACTTACAAAAATTTAAAACGGGATTCCATTTGGGATCTTTGAGGTAAGAATTGAATATTTTTTGAAATTTTTATAACACCACTTCATAGATGAAAATCACCTCAAGCTAAGCTCCGATTTCTATTTGATTTAAGATTTTTATTCTCGATTACAATCAGCGATTAATCTAACACACAATCAAAAAAATATCCTATTGAAACCAAAACACACCATCGCAAAGCTTTGCACTTGTATACTTAGAAGCTTAATGCTTCTGTCTGTTTTACCTTGTACAGCTTTTTTATACTATAACAGGTGAAAATCAACTAACAGCAATTGAAAAGCAAGAGGCTGAATCACCGGAGAAATCTCATCGTTCAAGCAGAGAAGGCGCATATAGTACACCTTCGCTGCCTGTGTCTTCACAAGCTTTACTTGACAGAGTTGAGGCACAACAAAGGAGAATTGCTGCATTAGAAGTCGCGGAAAAGGTACCATCTACTTGATTCTGTGCACTGTGTAAAAATGTATCGACTGCCTCAGTGGTGCAGTGGTAGCGTATGCAAATGCTATGCTGAGGTCTCGGGGTCAGACCAAATATTTGCACGTAAATCTGCAAATATTTTCTTTGGAGTTTGGGTATTTTCTACGCAATAATATGAATGTTTACAAAAAAAAAGTTTATGAATATTCTATCAGTCAATCTAGCTTTTATAGTACAAGCCAAGCCCACTTAGTTTGAAACTATGAATAAAAAAATATTATCATTATTCACTTCAATCAAACAAAGTAATTTGTTTTTAAATAAATAAATAAAAATAAAGGAAGATTATTCGAAGATATACCAGCATTCATCAACAGCCTTTACCAGTCCACTGCTGGACAGGTTTTGGCCCACAATACCACGCTGGCCAAACGGGTTGGTATAGGGTTTGTGTCAAGTTTTTCCTTCTCTCTGCAGTGCTGTCCTGCGTAGTTTTGCTCCCTTAGTCGCCTCTTACGACATCCACGGGATGAATTGGGGTGGTGACACTCTGTATTCTTTTTGTTTTGTCTTTTTTTGTATACCAGTATTACTGAAGCGTAATAAATAAGTATATAGTAGCAATGCATTGACTAAGTTATTTCATTCTAGGGGAATGAGTTGCTGGTGTCGGAATACGAGAAGTCTTTAGCTGAAATCACATCGCTAAAAGGACAAGTGTTGAAATTGGAATCAACTCTGCTTGAATCACAGATTCGTACGCCTATGAAATCTTCTGGTGACACACAGCCAGAACTTGAATATTGGAAAAAGTAATGCTATTTATAGTTTATTTTTATATATTTTACGTCTAGTAAAAGTTGAATTGATGAATAATACATTGTTTACTAACCCATATACATAATCATGTTATATTATAATAATATGTTTTCCTGTAATGAGACTACCCAATAATAATAACTTAACACATTTTATACACACTTAAATATTTCTAAATACCTACATTTTTATTATACCTACATAAAATACACCCAGATAGAACAGATGAACGTGCTCAAAACTCAATTAAGTATTTGTTCTGGGTGGGAATCGAACTTGTGGCTCAGCAATCAGGATCACTAACCATTAGTCCAACAGGACAATCAGTGATTAACCCTTTTATTACGCTAAGTGTTTATATTTTTAGCGTCTTTTTTTCTATCTCGTCCTCTTTGTAAGCGCCCTACGCAATAAATACATATATAAATTTACCTACAAGTTCTTCTTTACAAACTAAATCTATTGTCAAAATGTGTCGAACATTTAGGTCGTGTCAATAAATAGTTATCTATTTATATTTATATTCCTACATTTTCTTAAATTCAGGGTCAAAGTCATTGTTTAGTTATGTTGTTAGTTTGAATCTTTATCAAAAATATTTATGTATACTTGTTTTTGATACAAAAAAAAATATCATTACACTATTAAACAGCGGCTTTCGTGTCTTTCTTTAAGTGTATTAAGCGTTCAATTTTTGTATCAGTTACTGCCAAATGTTGAAGGAGGAAAATGTTCAACTGACACATAAGATAAACTCCATGGAGACACTGCCCACCACTGCCCATCAACATCGAGTGAATGACCTAGAACAAACTGTACTTACTCTTAGAGGTATGTATGATTAACCTTGAGGCCTGGACGCCTAACCTAACCTAACATTACTAGAACTTAATATAACATAGCAGATTGAATTATAATTCTTGTGTTCCTTTGATAATTTAGGGTATTTTTAATGTATGCTGTTCATTTAATTTTGTCTTTATAATGGAATATATATATGGCTTAGGTGGTTATGTCCTTGGGCGTACCCATACGCTGCCGTCTTCTGCCATTCTACGCTCTTACGTAATATCATATTATAAATTTAGGAACGTTAAAGATTTTGATTAGATGTGCTACATCTGTCCCAACAAAAAATCATTTGCTATGCAAGGCTAGTAAATAATAAGGGTAAGAAGAACATAAATAAGGGTAAAAAATAGCAATTTAATCGTTGCAGGTGTCATAAACAAGTTGCAAGCTGAGCAGAAGTCAGGTGTTGTTTATAAAAGGGTGGACTCGAGACCGAACAGCAGTCGAAGTGTTACGGAAAAGGTAAAAAACATAAATCTTAATAAAAACCCAGCAAAGTTCCACTCAGCCATGGGACCTTCAACTTAATAAGCAATGCGCTCCCTAAATACCAAAAGGAAGTTTAGGAAAACCGTCCATTTTTGGAATTTATACTAATTTTATAAAGCTGAAGAGTTTATTTGTTTGGTTGAACGCGAAAGTCTAATCTCAGAAAGTACTGGTTCAAATTGAAGAAATATTTTAGTGTTGGATGGACAGTTAATCTAGAGAGGCTATATACAATCACGCTACGACCAACATAAATAGAGCCGAGCATAAATGAAAAACCCTGGGAAAATTTGTTCTTTTTGAGAGACTAAGTTGTGCGGGTCTGCCAGCTATAATATATAAACGAAACCCATAATGATAATACTAACATTGAACGTTTAATAGATGATTGATTTTTTCCAGGGTCGCATACAACTAGAATCTCATCGTGTAGAGATAGTAAATCTCAAAAGAACTATACACGATAAAGACTTGTTACTTGAGAGGTCGAAGGAGATGCTCAAAATCGCAGCCGAAAGGGAAGACGAATTACTTCGAGAGGTAAGACATTATTGTGAGATCACAAATACTTAATCAGAAATAATAATAAGAACCTCCTCACACATGGCTGTCTGATCCCAAACTAGGCAGAGCCAGTGCTATGGTAACCAGATTGCTGATAAACATACTTATATATATTTCTAAACATACATATTATAGATAAATTACACCCAGACACAGAACAAACGATCGTGCTCATCACACAAATACGAGTATTTGTTCTGGGTGGGCATCGAACCCACGACCTCCGATTCAGCAGTCAGGATCACTAACCACTAGACCAACAGGCCTGTCGTATAAACGTTATATAATGGGTCATATATACATGTTTTTTTATTAAAAACGTTGGATAGATAAAACACTGTCTCCCGTATCAAGTACCCAGTATTTATAATAGTATTTCGTTCCTCCTGGAACAACTAAGAGTGTCGAATATAGGTGAGAGAGTACTGCAAGTCTTCAGTTAAATATTATGCATGTTTATGAAATTCCTAAGAAAGTGTAATATTCCTGATGCGAGTACGTCTTTCTTTTAGGGCAAACTAAATTGTATTGCTTAGGTTAATATTTAGCTATATGGAAAAATACCCAACTTTGTCAGGTTGGGCTCGCGTTTCTCAGAATTCAACGTAGACTGTGGATCTGAGCAAGCCGTAATTGTAAGAGCAATTTCGCATTACGTCGCATTACGTCTGCTCCGGACCCGTTAAAATACGGTCCGAAGTAGTCGTAGAACTATTTTTATGAAAGCGTCTTTCTTTCCGTTTTCCGTGAATCTCCATTCCGGAGAAGATATTGACGTACCAAAGTAGTCATACTTTGATTTGTATGACAGCACTCAGAATTCTTTACTTGTTCTGTGTCGTTCGTACGTACAATAGCATTACCAGAACTTGCCGATCGAAACGACTCATGATCAATGACGTGAACGCTCTGCTGTGGCTCCGAGTAAAATGACGTACTTATGCTATAAGGTTATCCCGGTATTGCTTGGACTAGAATCAGACATTGCAATAATGCGTAAACAATACACGAATTAAGTTACTCTGTCAGCCTTAAATCCGTTATCACGAATCAGAAATCGGAGGTAGTGCAAAAAGCAATATCTGTATTCAGCCCGAGATTTCTAAAGCCGTAATTTCACGGGTTCAAATCGGATTCGGATCGGACGTAGTGCGAAATCGCTCGAACCGGTAAAGTTAAGGAGTGGTAGCTGGCAGCCTGATAAAAAATAATGCATGCTCATGCGTAGCCACGCCTTTAGAGTCATTTTAAAAGAGATTTTCAATCAACTTACTCAACTGTAAATATAAGTTTTTATATTTATTTCAATTAATCACTAGTTTCTTTTCTTTATTTCTAGAATACCTACTTAAGAAGACAAATGGATGAGTTGACAAGACCAAATGGAGGCTTTTTATCTGCTTAATTAATTAGTTTAATAAGTAATAATTCGTTTATAAGGAATACAAATAAAACTACAAAGTTACTCATTTACAGTTCATTTATTTTAAATATATTAGTTTCTATATTGTTTTGGTACATTTCTCATTAACCCTTAAGTACAAGCTTCATACAAATGTGTACAACCAGGCAACATTTAATTTAATATTTTTTTATTTAAACAATTTTCTAATGGTTTTTTTGCATCGTATATTTTTAACAAATATTACATAAAAGCACATTTAAAATACTAGATTCTAATTTTAACTTAGTAAGCAAGTTTATTAAACTCGTAAAAATCTGGAAGACATCCATTTATAATATTTATATATTATATTTTTATAAAATAAAATAAACTTTATAAAATTGTGTTATAAGTGGCAATAGGTAGACTTGGCAAAGAAAGTATATATTAATACAAATTCATATTCTGAAGAAACATTATTGCATGAATTATATTATACCAGGGCCCAAGTCTGATCATGTTACGGCTGAATACAGCCCTGGTTCTGTAATGGGACTATGTTTTACTTACACATGCATGACATGTGATACATATAGTAGCCGGCCAGGAATAAGTATTTGCCGAGGACTTATCGACTCGATACCGTGCTTCTGTCATATTAATTCCGTTCGCGGCCTTGGCACGAATTCCGGCGACCTGATGTATTATAAATTAGTTCATACAATTAATAGCAGTTGTTTTTACTAGACGCCACCTGAAGGCAATTCTCGTGATAAAATTTAGTTAAAAAGTCAGTTCCTCTATCCTATACTCTCAATCTTGCAAATGTCAAAAAGGGTATTCTCGTAGTAAAATATTACTAAGACCAGCAGAATACCGATTCAACTTTACAACAATACGATATAATCAAGAGATTGTGAAATCGAGAGAAAGAAGATCGCTGATTTCTCTCGATTTCACACATAACATTCAACGTTGGCTGTAATGTGATTTTATCCGATGTAGTAGTTCCGATGAACTGAATTAAAAAGAAAAAATATTGAGCTGGACATACCCAATGTTAATCAACCCTACATCACTCACCAGAATACAAAGCTAAGTTACCGAGTGTTGTATACTAACAAAAAAACATTAACTAGAAGTTGGTAAACATTATAGATTATATTTGTTGCAGAACAAATGTGAAGTTCAAGTGATTTAGACGTAGTCTAATCAATATTATTTACGATATTGTAGAGATTCTCCAGTCCATTCGCATAAGTAATATCCCCTCACTTCTTCCATTTTCCATAGACTCCATTTAATTCCTACTAGTTAAGAACAAAATGTAAGGTTAACCTCTCAATTATGTTAGTGAGACCAAATTATAATTGGCAAAATTATTGTCCGTAAATAAGTATTTAGATTTGACTATAAAACATTTTAATGTACCTACGGTTAAATTATCTAGGTACGTAATCCAGCTATCAAATTAAAATTTTATAATTTCTAGTATCCCAGCCAGCTTACGTTTGATGTCGATCGATATTTTGAACATTTTAAGTATTTTACCTCTTACTCTTTACGGTATACCAAAGAAATGTGTTCGATATGTGGTAAATATATGTACTTACCTAACTTTTTTTCCTGTATGGGTTTCTGTAATCTGAAGATGAAGATATAAATGAGCGATGGAAAACTTACTTTGAAAAACTTATGAATGAAGAGAATGAACAGAAAAGAGTGCTGAAGGATGTCGATGTGAATGTCGGACTGGTGAACGAGATTAGTACCTATAGATAGATGAAGACTGGCAGTACGAAGTATGAAAAATGGAAAATCAGTTGGCCCCGACGGTATACCAGTGGAAGTTTGGAAGTTACTGAATGAAGACGGATATGAGGGGCTGACTCTATTCTTCAATATGTTGTTGCATGAAGAGGTAATCCCAAAGGAATAGTGTCAAATCCAATTCGTAACCAATTTCCAAAATAAAGGGGATGTTCAGGAATGCAACAACTATCGAGGAATGAAGCTCGAAAGCACATACTATGAAAGTCTGGGAGAAAGTGATTGAGAGAAGAATAAGAGATGAGAGTGAGATAACCAGAAGTCAATTTGGGTTTATGCCAGGACGCGAGGCAACAGATGCTATATTTGCAATGCGTCAACTATGTAAGAAATACAGGAGTGCGCACAAAAACTTGCATATGGTGTTTGTGGACCTCGAAAAGGCATATGATAGGGTACCCCGACAGGTTTTCTAGTGGGCTTTGAAAGAAGAAAGAGTGCCTGTTAAGCATGTAGAATTGATTCGTGCAGAGAGTCTAGCACTCATGTAAGGTCGGTCACGGGAAACACTGATCAATTCAGTGTCTCTGTAAGCTTACACTAGGGATCGGCTCTGAACCTATACCTCTTCCTGTTGATAATGGATGCTCTGACATGGGACATACAGGAGGAGGCACCTTGGTGCATGCTATTTGCATATGACATTGTGTTGATCGGTGATGACGGGGGTGAAGTCCAGAGCAGACTGGAAAAATGGCAACAAAAGCTGGAGAATGTTGGCTTGAAAATCAGCAGAACCAAAACTTTTCGCATTTTCTTCACGTATCAAGATATACATAGATTATATGTATTTTTTTATAATTTTACCCTCGGGTCGCTATTACGTTGGCTGTTATGAACTTGACCAATTAAATAAATGTCTGTACAGTAAGACACTCTTCAGATGTTATCTTTAAAACGTCATCAATCATCATTTATTCTGATAGGCCAATTAAACTTTTGGCTAAACCGGAGGTTCGTTATTATCTTTGCTTTGACATTCGCATTGTTTATGGTATGAGCAGACGGGTATCCTGATGGTAAATGAAGTAATGAAGACATGGACTCAAAAGACTTGAAATGCTTGAAATTTGCAGGATTTCTTATTTTTGATCTTCCAAAAAATTCTTTTATACAAGTCTTGACTGGCAATAACAAATATAAAAAAAAAATCTGCCAAGTGTCTGTCGCCGACGTACATGTGGCAATTGATCACAGTAATAAACATTGACTTTAAATGTATAGTTATTATTATAAATAACAAATTGGATGATTGTGTCAAAAACATTTATTAAAAATATTAAATAAGTATGTACCTAGTCTTTAAGGAGGTATTTTCATTTTATATTATTTTGTAACATAAAAAATCTATATGCCTAGATACAATGATATATCACGTGTTTTCTCCATAAAGAATATTTTCCTCACTTTAATTTTGTAGAACGTTTTATTTAGAATTTGATAAAGAAATAGATAAGTTTACGAATCATTTAATATTAATTTACGTTTCACTTAATTTGGGCCCAATCATCATTAGTTAATAGATTATAATAGATAAAACGCAACTAAATGAGGACAGTAACATAAATCACTGTCCAATGTACGATTTGTTATAAAATTATATTAAATAACCTTAGTAGCATCATTTTCAATAATTAAATCATTAAATTTAATAAATAATTTAGGATTTTCTATTTATTCTTTACATCGCTATACACCAAAACATAAATTCAAGTGTATGTTCAAATGCAACATATTATTTTTACAATTTTTGTGTCCCTTTCCAAAAGTCAATTCATTTTCAATTCACTATAAACACAATGTGTCTGTCTGTTCGCTTTTGGATCTTTCCGAAGGCCAATTCACATTCAAATTCATTATTTCGTTACATTTGCTACAACTAGGGTGAGCCGGTACTATAGTAACCGGGCTATTGATAAACATTCTAAATACATATATATACTTAATAAATTACACCTAGGCATATAACAAATGATAGTTGTCATCACACAATTGTTTGTCCTGGGTGGGAATCCAACCAATCCAACCACGTTCGTGAATCCATCCAACTCACGAACCACTAGACCAACAGGCCAGTCGATTATTGGAAAGCGCCTACTAATTATTCAAAATTTTCGATAGTTTTTCTTAGTATAAATAATTAAAAATTATTAGATCAACACAGAGTCATAGGTAACTCACCGAAACAGTAACTAAAGTACAGTTTTGTTAATTCTAAATCGCCTTACCAAGTACAAATTCCCTTACCCGCTAAGAGCACACACATTATTTTAATAAATACTCTTTTTTATACAACTATGAATTTTTTCTACGTATAAATATTTGTCTAAACGATACATGCACTCTGGGCGCTTTATTCGCTAACAATCAATCTATTACAGCAAACTTTATATTATCACACTATCTGAACACAGCCGCGTAAATAAATATGATATATGGAACTAATATCAATCATAATACTATTTATATAAGATATCCTTTCGTTGATACACAAAATTAAACATACAGTAGGCGTGGTGTATGAAAATGATTCATAAATTGTATCATAATTTTATCGGTGAATCAGGAATGTAACAACATGTGATAATCGCTAATGATGTTAGGATACGTATTAACAATGATTGTCTATTAATATATTAAAAACAAAATAAAATGGTATATACTATTTAACGTACGTGCTTATTCTTGAACGCCGTTCGATTTCAAGAGTTTACACTGAAAAATACAATAAAAAATGCTTTGAAAATTATTCATAAAGGCACTTCATCATCATTTGAATATTTAAGGCATATGACCTCCATTGCTAGACAGACCTTTCCAAAGATATCCAGGAAGATTGGTTGAATACGGTCAGTATTTACTTCGTTGATCTGCGATCGTAATTAGAAGGTTATTTCAAAGATATTGTTTTGTTTAATATTAATGAATTTTAGTCATCAATCAAATAGGGTAAAAGGACCAGTCTTATAATTGAGCTTAAGTGGGGCTAGGTATTTATAATGGGTCGGTATCGTTTGATTAATTATTGATAATAATGTTTCATTAAGACAATAACAAAACAGTTCAATTGCGAAATTCAGCCTCACTCAAAGCAGATTCAAATGTGCACTTACTATCAACAAATGAGGCGGTTTTTTTTCATATAAATTAGCAATTCCATCACAGGTATTTATTACTTTGTACTTTTTGTAACGAACAAAAAATTCATTGCTCTATGCCGTGTGTTTTTTGTTACAAGGCGAAAAAAAAACATGAATTCATTTTTTATGCTGTCACCTGCAATTTTATTCAATTTCTATAAAATTAAATGTCTCTCTGATACGAGGAACAGTAACAGTGTAAACGGTTATATTCACAAACCAATTAAAATTTGGTTTGTTAATATAAATTTTCGTATAAGTTATTCCAGAAGCACCAAGCAATTAAAACACCCAAATAAAAAAAAACAGTAAGCATTACAGTAGTCACATAATACGATGTGTAATATAATAGGCATGGGACGAATTCACAGACCGGTAATTTTTCTTACGTAGGTTAGGGTTACTACGAGTACTTACACATGCGTTGTTGCCAATAAGCTGCTTTCAGACGACGCGTAAAGACCCTATTTCGCCTATTTAACAGTAAATCTAGTAATTGTTTTATTATATATAGCTACCATTCCCTACATAATAATTTCAAAAATACTAGATTTACTGTTAAATAGCGTCTAACCTAGCAACCCTAATTTACGTAGGCAAAAATCGAATGATAAATCACAGTTCACTGTCATTTTGTCCCACGTCTAATAATATCTTACATCTCATCCCATCTGAGGGCCTAGTGCATTTATATCACGCTAGCCATTTTACATCAACTCGCTCTCAACAAAGAACGTGTTTTCAAGCAAGAGCAAGATTTCAGTGCGGGCCAATCGCAGCGCCGTGTCCCTCGAGTTGATATGAAATAAACTCGCACTAGGGCCTCAGCAGGTCAATGTTACGTCCTTCCGTCCGTTTTGACGAAATTACTGCCACAGATGATTCAGGAGAGCGAGAAAGAAAAGAGGTTACACATAAAAAGAAGCAAAAAAATCTTCGAATTATATGGAACTACGACCTACCTTGTAGTATTCCGGCTAGAAAACAGTAATAAGTTACTATGGTGGGAAAACATTAAGCCTTGTTTGTTTTATATTTTACAAGGCTTTTAGTAAATATGTTCTTTCCACTTATGGTGCATCTATAAAACAAAATTCTAATACACATAAATCAAGCAAATATATAAGATGAATACAAAATCAAAATAAAGATAAAACTCTTATATTTTAAGTATTTATTTTTTAAAACTACTGTTACTAAATGCATATAAAAGTTAACAAGGTTCTTTTAATATAAATACAATATTTGTGTGTCTTTGTCTGTTGGCTTTAGACTATAAAATGGCTGGACCAGTTTTCAACAGACATTAGCTGTTAGCTAGCTGTGAAAAGAAGTAACTTAGAAAACAATAGCTTCTTCCCTCAGAAAACTTCAGGAACAGCTAACACTGAATAAAATGAAAGTTAAATTAATACTTTTAAAGTTATTTAGTAGTTAATACTGTTTAAGAAACCGAATTGAAACTACTCGCGGCAATCAGTTTGATGTCGATGCAAACTAAAGAAAAACAGACAAACAATAAAATAGGTTTATAAACAATTTACTTCTTTGTACAAAATAATATTCTTACTAATAGCTAAATAACGCACATTTAATACAGTTTATTATTTAAAAAATTAACATAGCACTAGAAACAAATAATACTAAGTGAAATGCAACTAATATTATCATATTCGACGAATTGTATATGTATCATGCATTCTTAATTTATGTATTGTACTCTGTCCATTCATTTCTTTCCTTGACCTTGCCGATACGAATAAAAATAACAATCGATTTTATGTAGACATCGAATCGACGACTGAGAGCTCGTTTAATAACCTCGGGTATGAACCCATGTTCTATAGACATTATACCAGCAAATGAAATATCATAAACGCTAGAATTGTCAATAGAATCCTAGAATCCTCAGTAACACCAATAAATAGATTATATACTGTCATAATGCCTACAAATAATAAACAGTAGAATGAAATTAAATAGGTAACATAATGTATTTTTGATAATTGAGCGATTTAAACTTTACAAATTGTCAGATCATACGTGTTTTTAAAACTGGTGGTTGGGTATAATACATAGCAGAGTTTATGAAGTTTAATTATATGAATACAACGGTTTTAATAATAATATCATTTAACTACGCCTTCTCATAACATTTGCTTAATAAAATTCAGCAATTTATAGAATCTGTAAAGAGATTGCAATTTACTCATTTCTAAGAGATAGGTAATTAAAAATCAGTATTGAAAAAAAATGTACGAGGGCTGCTATTTGTGTATTTGTGTCTGGAACTGGCCAGTTACAGAACAATATTAAAAAAGTAATTATAACATATAAAAATGGAACTCTCTGGGCTGAAAAATACAATTTGTTTCATGTAGCTGTCTTTTGTTAATCCTTTGTGGCGTTATTTTGAAAATTGCGTGTCTTTATCACTATGGATTTAACTCATGAAAATATTCGTGCTATTATTTATTACGATTTTCGGCGAGGGCTAATTCAAAAACAGTGCATCGATCAACTCACTTCGACTTTTGGGGACGAAGCACCATCAAGAACAAATGTGTATCATTGTTTTAGTGAGTAATTGTTAATCGAGGGCGGTCTGTGCTTACGGACGAATTTAAAGATGGTCGCCCTAAATCGGTTGTTGTACCTCTAAATATTAATGCTGTGCGGGAACTAATAATGCAACATCGTCATGTTACATATCGCGAGATAGAGGTTTCTCTGGGAATAAGTATGACGAGTATACATATATAAAACGTTACACGTTTAGCTGTAAAAAAAATTGTTCACGTTGGATTCCGCACAACTTGAGAATTAACCAAAAACGGGCTCGTGTCGATTGGTGTAAAAAAAATGGCACAAAAGTACAAGTCAAAAGCTGTCTATAATATCTACACAGGTGATAATATGCGTATAACGTATAAACAACAATCAACGGTTTGGGGTTTCCAAGATGAGCCGAACCCAACCAAAGTCATTCGTTCAAAAAGCACTTTGAAGCAAATGGTCGCTCGTTTTTTTTTTTTGTATAAATGGACATGTGGCTACAGTGCAATTAGAGAATCGAAAAACGGTTAATTCTAAATGGTACACGACCATTAGTTTGCCAGAAGTCTTTCAAGAAATAAGTAATAATGACCGACAACGCAGAATCCTTCTTCATCATGACAATTCTAGCTGCCACACATCGGCTGAAACAACTCAGTATTTGGAAGATCAAAAGATAGAATTAACGAGTCATCCGCCGTACAGCCCAAACTTGGTCCCCAATGACTTCTTTTTATTCCCAAACGTGAGGAATAAATTACGTGGTCAACGTTTTTGAGCCGTGAAGAGACTGTTGATGCGTTCAAAATGCACGTTTTGGAGTTTGATTTTGGAATTGGTTCCAACGTATGCAATAGTGCAAATATTTTGAAAAGCAATAAAACTATAATAAATGCTATAGGTTTGTTTCACTTTGTTATTCCGGATACGTAACTGGCAGCCCTCGTATCAATATACTATATCCAGGCGTAATAATTAAAACATTGACAAATGCTAACATTAAATCTATTTATCAGGACTGTCCCAGAATGTGAAAAAGATTTCTGTACATTTTACTGAACTATATTATTAATATTCGGTTTTTATAATATCTATTAACGTACCTACTCATTAAAATTAAAATAATAATAATAATAATATAATATATTTAATCTAGTTACTATACTCGAGGAATTAGTTTACCAAGAAAGTATTCGAAATAATTCGGATGAAATATTTGTACTTTTTGTTTTTAAAGTTTATTTACATAGGTTATCATCTTTGCTAAAAAAAAGTTTTCGTTTTTTTTTTTAATATTCTACCACATTGACACAACGCCATCTAGTCCCAAACTAAGCAAAGCTTGTACTATGTTTAGACAACTGATATCAATACATATATACTTTTTTTTGTAAATACGTACTTATAATGGAACGTACAACTACAACGTACAACTAAATACATACTTATAGGGGAAGCAAACCCGCGACCTTTGGAATAGCAGTCCGTAACACAAACCACTATGCAATCTGGTCGTCTAGATTAGTTATTACTTGAGATTAATCGTTGACATAATACATCAGTAATATCTATGTATGCAATAAAAATTCTTATTACAATATCTAATAAGCAGAAATATACAATAAAGCTTAATAAACCAAATGCGCTATTTTGAAGCCATCTATATTAAAGCCCATTTAGACGGAGAGAGTTTAATATATTATAATATTTTTAAGTATAAATCGTGAGTATTAATTACTTTTGTAAGCAAGTACTAAACTGTCGTAATGTTATGTCATGATACGTATAGTCACGAAAGACGTACCAATGGCGTATTCTATGTTTAGATTCTTGCTTAAGAGTTCTCCATTTGTATAAACGTAGTCTCGTATGACAGTTTTTCGTTTAATATCGTACAAATAGGTTTTAAACGTTTTGAAACGTGACTAAAATCATGTGAATTTGGAACTGTTGCTGGAATGAAGGTAATATTATAATGACTGTTTATATTACATATAAGAATAAAATGGATTAAAATACAGATGGTAAGAAACACTTCTTGCACATCTGATTCGGTTTCTGATTGGACATCTGTCACGTTTTCCGTTATTATTTCAATAATTATTGTCTTAAAAGAACAGAGCATAATGATAGATCTGTGCTCACTACACTCATAGTCATGTTTAGAATTTATACAAATAAATAAAATTCAAGTGTCTGTAATGTCAAAATAATAGGGTTTTTTTTATGTTCACATGGTTAGTTGCACGATACCTATGCCTAAAAACCAGTTTACTTTTTTGTCTGTCTGTTTGTTCCGAGTAATCATCGAAACGGCTGGAGCGATTTTGATAATATATATATACAGGGTTACAAGAAAAGTCGTGCTAGATCCGTTAAGGGCGTGGAGTACCCATCATTTCTGACATATTTCACTATGAAACACCCTACCCTAAACTTAACCCTTTTCGAGATAATCGTCTTTTAATTTTTTTATTGAAATTTGCTGATTTTTAGGCTACTACATTTATTTTTGTTTATTTTATGAATCTTATTATTATTATTTTTGCATTTTTATATGTGTAATAAGATGCTTTAGGACGTCAGTCATTAAAATAGTTCATAAGTTAATTGAATAGATCGTAGTAGACAAGTGAAAGTAAAGAAATAAAAAAAAATATTAGAAAATTATTTTTCTCTAACGGATATCTAAAAACAATATTATGGTAATTGTTCGGCAGATGTTTTTTAAAATATCTACGTTTCATCAGCTATCTAACGAGGTATAATAATTTAAGGTTTTATTCAAATGCATTGAAAAAACTTTAGTTTCATAGGCGACAGTGGAGAAGAAAATTTATACTTAGCCCAAAAAAGTAAAATAAAACAATAGTTAAGCATGAAATGTTATTTATTAAAGGTTTTCACACAACTTTTTCTTATTCTACAGTTCATGTTCAACATGGCCGCCTCTATTTCTGATACATTGTCGCATCCTTATACGGAGACCAGTCTTCACTACTCCAGTGGTCAACGTGGTCCTCATTTTATTTACTGCATCCACAATCCTTTCTCGTAAGTCTTCCACAGACGAAACTGGATTCGGCTCGCTGTACACAAGACTTTTCATGCACCCCCACACATGAAAATCCATGGGGGTTACGTCCGGACTTCTTACTGGCCATGGCAACGGCCCACCTCGTCCTATCCATTTGTTTGGATAATTTGTGTCCAGCCAGTCCCTGACACTTCTCCTGAAATGGGCAGGTTGAGTGGCAGATCATCCAGCAAATCACTCAAGTCTGCTCTCAGTAAATTTTCGTAGCTTTCCCCATTTAGATTATCCGGGAGAAAGTAAGGTCCAATCAAATGATTGGAGATAATGCCCATCCACACATTCACGCTGAATCTTCGTTGGGACCCCTTCACTCTTTTCTTATTGGGATTCCTTAGTTCTTTTGGGGCCCAGTAATGGGCGTTGTGATAGTTAGTTATGCCATCTTTATCAAATTTGGACTCATCCGTCCACAAGATATTTCTTAGAAAATCTGGGTCTTCTACGTCAGCATTTAGCATAAATCTGCAAAAGTCCAATCTTCTCGCGGGGTCTCCTTCTTCAATAACGTGTACCGGCGTGTAATGGTACGGGTATAGGCCAGCAGTATGCACTGTAAACCACACTCTCCATTGCGAACGTCCCAGATCACGGGCAACAATATTAGTGGAAGTAGTCGGATCCGCTCGAAAGCGTTGCACTATCTCATTGTCCTGTTCTTCGTCGTCAATTCGTGGTCTTCCCATGTCTGTATTTCGTCTCAAAACAGAGCCAGTTTCTCGAAGTCTTCGATAAACTCTGTCAAAAACGGCCACATCCGGCACTCGACGACCAGGGTAGCGAGTTATGTATTCGTTGCGAGCTTGCGCAGACACACAATCGCAGTTTCCGTAACAAATAAGCATATCAGCATATTAGGTTGAAGAACTATCGACCCATATCCCTTCTAAGCCACGTCTACAAGCTGTTTTCGAGAGTCATCACGAACCGTCTTGCGCAAAGACTCGACGAATTCCAACCACCGGAGCAAGCTGGGTTTCGGAGCGGATATGGCACCATAGACCACATCCACAGTGCGGCAGATTATACAGAAGACCGAAGAATATAATCAGCCCCTGTGTCTAGCATTCGTGGACTATGAGAAAGCCTTTGACTCGATCGAGATCTGGTCTGTTCTGGAGTCCCTGCAGCGTTGCCAAGTAGATTGGCGATATATCCAAGTGATGAGATGTCTCTACGAAGCCGCCACCATGTCCGTCCAAGTACAGAATCAGCAAACAAGGCCCGTACCATTGCATCGAGGAGTGAGACAAGGGGACGTTATTTCCCCGAAATTGTTCACAAATGCAATGGAGGACATGTTCAAGACGCTACACTGGAAAGGGCGTGGCATCAATATCAATGGCGAATACATCTCTCACTTGCGATTTGCAGATGACATCGTCATCATGGCAGAGACGTTGCAGGACCTACAGCAAATGCTGAATGACTTAGCTGACACTTCTGTACGCATCGGCCTACGGATGAACTTGGATAAAACCAAGGTCATGTTCAACGAACATGTACTACCGGAACCGATTGCGGTACACGGTGCCGTTCTCGAAGTTGTTCAAAATTATGTGTACCTCGGGCAGACATTGCAGTTAGGTAGAAACAACTTCGAGGACGAGGTGAACAGAAGAATTCGGTTGGGTTGGGCAGCGTTTGGGAAGCTACGTCGAGTCTTCTCATCGTCGATCCCACAGTGCCTTAAGACGAAAGTCTTTAATGAGTGCGTCCTACCCGTCATGACATACGGAGCTGAAACGTGGACACTTACGGTACGGCTGGTCCACAAGTTCAAAGTCGCTCAACGTGCTATGGAAAGGGCTATGCTCGGCGTTTCTCTAAGGGATCGCATCAGAAATGAGGTGATCCGGCAGAGAACTAAGGTCACCGACATAGCGTACCGGATCAGCAAGCTGAAGTGGCAGTGGGCTGGCCATATTAGCCGCAGAACCGATAACCGTTGGGGAAAACGAGTTCTTGAGTGGAGACCGCGTCTCGGCAAACGTAGTGTAGGACGCCCACAGGCCAGGTGGAGTGACGATTTGCGCAAGATGGCTGGCAGGAGCTAGATGCGAGAAGCCCAAAATCGATCTAAGTGGCGTGCAATGGGAGAGGCCTATGTCCAGCAGTGGACTGCGATAGGCTGATGATGATGATGATGATGATATCAGCATATTCCTCAGGTGTGTAGGACGTCATCTTCAACACTTCCGTATCACAGGTACAAATCAGAGTCCGGTTAACAAGCACAGTAGTCACAAATCAGAAGAAATAGTCCAGAATCACAGCCAAGTCGAGAAAAAGAGCAAAACGATATCACATCTACTATGTACGAAGCACAAAAGCAGACTGACAACTAGTGACAACCAAACAATGCCCCCTGTTGTATTCCCAGCCCTAACCCCGGTCTCTACACATTTTTTCTTTCATTCGCACCTACATAAATCGTCACTTGTCTCGCTCGCTTGGTGCGTCTTAACTTGAAGGACAATAGGCGCGGGACCGTTAGAACTGTTACCTGGAGCGTCCCAACTACTTTTTTTCCACGAAATGTACTACAAACCCTAGATTGTTATACCTCGTTAGATAGCTGATGAAACGTAGATATTTAAAAAAACATCTGCCGAACAATTACCATAATATTGTTTTTAGATATCCGTTAGAGAAAATAATTTTCTAATATTTTTTTTATTTCTTTACTTTCACTTGTCTACTGCGATCTATTCAATTAACTTATGAACTATTTTAATGACTGACGTCCTAAAGCATCTTATTACACATGTAAAAATGCAAAAATAATAATAATAAGATACACAAAATAAACAAAAATAAATGTAGTAGCCTAAAAATCAGCAAATTTCAATAAAAAAATTAAAAGACGATTATCTCGAAAAGGGTTAAGTTTAGGGTAGGGTGTTTCATAGTGAAATATGTCAGAAATGATGGGTACTCCACGCCCTTAACGGATCTAGCACGACTTTTCTTGTAACCCTGTATATATATATATATATAATATATATATTTACTGCCAGGTAGCTGTCTATTTAAGGAGTAACTTAGGCTATTTTTCCTCTCAGAAAACCCTTTAGAATTTTGCCCGGTCCGGGAATCGAATCCACGTGGGAATTAATGCTCACGGGCAATATTTTTATATTCCTTCGATAATACTCGTAGTATTTTCGAAACGAGAAACTGTCTCCGTGTACATGGTCCTTTATTGATATACAAAGCAATAACTACACACTCATCCCAAAAAAAGTGCTTAAATTAAATAGCTGTATCTACGGTGCTCTCTATAGGCTGCTACAGTCCGCATGCATAGCCATTTTATTTATCTGTTACCTGAACGTCAGCCTTCTCCTCGAACTTGGCTCTCAGCCTGCGAGCTAGAGGCGGTGTAAATAATGCAGGGTCGGGATGCGACTGTCCTGCACGCTCCCACGGCTGCATCTGACGCCATAGCAACGAGATTATACTCCCCACGGCCAGCACCCACACGAATCCTATCTGTAAATGTTTTATGGATCTTTTTATACGTCATCTTGTTAAGGTGTAATCGGCAGACGAGCATATGGGTCACTTAATGGTAAGTGACCACCACTACCACTTTACGCGTACTTTCAAAACAAATTCAATTGTAGTGTTGCTTTTAATTAAAAGTGAACCTTATAAATTGGACTTCGTCAAAATTCGTTTCTAAATTACAGTATAACTATTTATGAAGGTGGTGTCAGTGCAGTTGTTAACAAAAAACAACGTGTCAGGTTCGAATCGTGTTTAACGCTGTTTACATAATACATACACGTTTCCCAGAATGTCGTTTTAATTGAGTATCGATAGTAAATCGTATGGACAAATCTGAAATATGATTGACGTCTCGTTAAAATATGGATTTAAATAAAATATAAAGGCAGGTAATGTAATTTGTGAAGGGAAACCATTGACAAGTTTGTTAGATCAGATAGGGCTCGAAAAACCATATTCAGACCGAGAAAAATGGAAGGTTATGTTTATATCTAGTTCTACATATCATTTAGCACTCCTTCACAGTTAGTTAGCTTAGCTGGAGAGGTTAAGTATAATTTTATTTATCTTTTTACATTTAAAAAAAATACTATAGCTGGTAATACTCTTTGTGAGGGCAAACTATCAATGAGCCTGTTGTATGCAGATAGGGCTCGAAAGACCATATTCAGACCAGACCAAGGTTCTGTCAGCTGATCAACAACCTCAATTTGTCTACTGCTGGACATACGCCTCTCCTTAGAAAGAAGAAAGAAGATTGTCTCCTTAGAAAATCATCCAATTGAAGTAATGCACATTATAACTATAATTTATAATAGGTTTAATATTTTGTATGGTTTTTGTGTACTTAAACATGTACTTTAAACCTTAAAAATATGCATTTATAATATAGTTATACTAGATAACACCAATAGCAAGTCTGGAAAGTTATCAAGGGTCATACCTTAAACAAACATATTTGTCGTGGCCTGATCTTAAAATTTATCACTTCATGACATGATCTTGCACAACATCATAATATAATGAATAATCAGCGTTTGACGATACGAAAATTTAATTACGAATACTTTGTGATATGGACGAACATTATTGATAATTTCGTGAAATAGTTATTAATCCACAGTCAGTGAAGCTGAAATTGCTTTTTTTAATGATAAATCATGGCGGTAGACGATAATTTTGCTTTAAAAGCTTATATTAATATACAATATGAGACAAAAGTGCATTGAAAGTTGAGACAACGTAAAATAGAACAAAATATGTATAATAATTTAGTTCTTTTTTTATTTACAATTTTTATAAAGCCCTTTATAATATTATCATATAGGCCACTTAGATTGAAATATCATTAAACTTTGACGTTTTTAACGATTTAATTAGTTTCTAGTGACTATATCATGACATATGACCATCTGACCATCCCATGATATGTCCGGGACACCATGAAATGAACAATTCTAAAATCTGGTCACGACTTATATGTATACTTTCTCCACTAGTCTCTCTTATTTTGTCAATTGATTGAAATATGTGTATTTAAAAATAAAGATACAAATAATGTATTTTTTTTACTGATGTTTAGCTTGTGTATGTCTTTAAGATGTACGTCATCTTCGCGAATTGTATTATATAACACCATTTGCGATGTATGGTCTCTGCCTATAACGGAACGGGCAGGAACCGTGAATGTATGTATGTGTATTTACTTACCAAACTCGTCCACATGTATGAAATTCGGTACGGATAGAAGTAGTCAGTTGAATGTGGTGAAACAATTTGCTGTGTGACGTTCGCCGCGCAACCTTCCACACTGAGAGGCAGCTTCACCACAGGAGGGCGCGGGCTGCCGAAACTGAACCATAACGTTATTGCCATCCCACTCACTAACGCGATTGATACACCCTAGAAAAAAGAAATTACTCAATAAACTGAAATCAAATTTAGTTTAATAAAATATACAAAAAAATACACTCGAATCGAGAAATCGTGTTTTTGAAGTCGGTTTAAAATAATAACACCTTGCCCCAACTCACACATGGTTTTGTGATCCAAAATTAGACAGTACCTGTACTATGGTAACCAGACTGCTGATAATCCTTTATAAATACATACATATTATAGATAAATTATACCCGGACACAAAAGAAATGATCGTGCTCATCACAGAATGATTAGTCCTAGATGGGAGTCAAAACCACGACCTCTGGCGTAGCAATCAGGATCATAACCACTAGACCATCAAGACAGTGAAATTAAATTTTAGTATGAATAGGATCACTACCCACTTTTAGGCTGACACGTTGCAGAAAAAAACAAAGGAATAATTTTAATTTACAGTGGCTAAATATTTTTTTTTACCGTGAAATTAATAAAAAAAAGAACGGTGTAAGGTACTTACTCTTTCATTGGCGTACGTAGTGAACATGCCAAGAGTGAACACCCCTAACAATGGTCCTCCAACAGCACCGAATATTGTGAGTGCCGCCTGGAGGACACCGCCCAAATATTGCGCGAGGAACGCCAGCCCCAAGAACAGCAGTCCAAAAGCGAAAGCAGCTACTTTCGTCATCCAAGGTACATATGACGGCGGTACTTTGCACCATCTTGTTAAAAAATCAAAGCTTTCTTTTAAAGACATCCCTAGGCACTAGGATAATCTGCGTTGCCGAAGACTTTACAGACATAGATACATAAAACTCACATAAATAACACTCAGACTCAGAGCAATAATTTGTGAACCACACAAATTGTCCCATGTGGAGATCAAAACCCAAACCCTCAGCAGTAAGAAGCGGCGAGGTGACCGCTTAAGCCACTTAAACACAGTTCTGTTGCCTAGGAATATCTCCTATCGTAATATCAGCCATTCGGCACTATAGGTTTATTGTAGGAACACATTTTTATAAGTATTATAACTGTATATAACTGTTTATTATAAAAATAAAAAAATACAAAATTCGTATAGATAAGTTGTCCAAAAAATGAAAGGAAATATAAAATTCCTTGCGGGTTTTTTGCCACCTTTCCTTACAATGTTGTATTATCTCATTATTTGTATATTTCTCTTTGCTGAGTTAACGCATTATGTGACTTACAAAAATATAAATAGCATTCGACAGCGTTTTTGACTAAAAATATGTCTGATATTTTTGGCGGTAGTATGAACAAAGTGTCTGATTTTTGGTACAATTTGCACTACGTTGTATTTTCTTATTCAGACACTACATAATCTTACCATGAAGAAGAAACAAAACTTTAACCATCTTACTGAAACCAAATTCAAATTTTGAGATCACATTCTAGAAGTATTGAAAACTTTCTTTTTTTGCCGTAGAAATCACTCACACTCACACTCACACTCACTCACAATCACATTCACTCGTTCCTAAAATTAGCCGGAACAAACATACAAGCAAACGTTTTTTTTAGAATGACTATTGTTTAAATCCTTAAACGCATTTAAAAAAACTGTGTTTAAGACATAAAAAACCGACACTATATTATTTATGTATATGTATTTGAATTACAGAGATTTATAATGCATCTGATATTATTATCTAAGTCAATTAAAAGGCCATTCACCTGCCGATATAATCGTGCAATGTCACTGCTGCAAGAGCGTTGCAAGCAGCCGATATCGTAGAGAGTGATGCACTGAATATCCCCGCGACGAAGAGTCCCGCGAGACCAGGAACATTTGTCATAGCGTCCACTACGTAGTACGGCATCAAATGGTCTATCTGGAAATACACAAGACGATGAAAGAATATTCAAATCTTCAAGTAAATTGAGTTCGTATTCATTTAATATTGGATATGAGGTAATTTTTAAGGTTCTCAATTAATTATTAGGTTATATATTTATTTTTGTTTGTTACCTTAGAACTCCGTCTGTTTTTATACCGATTGGGACCATTTCATTTATTTAAAAGGCTATAAGTCCGTGTAGTGACGGGTTGAGACAATTCATCCCGTGGGTGTCGTAAGAGCCGACTAAGGGCGCAAAACAACGGAGGACACCAGCACCTCAAAAATAAGGAAAACTTGACACAAACCCTATAACAACCCGTCTGGCCAGTGTGGTATAGTAGGCCAAAACTTCCTTTCTAAGGAGAGGCCTATGTCCATCAGTGGACTATTAAAAGCTGTTGATGATGAAAAGACTATACTTTCCGCTTAGTCTCATTCAAATTTGAAGAAATAATACCACCAATGAGAGTGGGCAATCAATGAAAGAAGAATACAGGTTATTTGAATTTATCATGATGTTTGCGTTTTGAAGTTCGTGATACTTTTATAAATGTTAATTATATTAAGGTTTATTTAAAATTATAAACACACGAGAAATGGGAAGAAAAATAATTCTAATACTGATTGACTTGAATAGAGAACAGCGTAAGTTTCTGCATGACAGAAGTAATGCCTGCTATTATTTTGGCCAATGGCTAGAATTTACCTAGTCTATTAAGACTAGCAACGTTCGATTCGATTAAAAACCGTTCGACTCGGGACGAGACACGTTTATTGACATAATTAAATAAACAAATCTTAAGTTATCTACTTTTTACAAATAAATGTCAATGTCGTGTGTTTATCCACTGACACTTCAATGTTAATGTTATGTCAAAACAACTTTCACTAAGCATTTATTAAAATATTTTCAGTAAGTATACCAAAAAGCATTATTTAAACTTTTTTCTGTCTTTCATTCTGTCTCTTTGTCAAGAGAGACTTACGAGGCTTGAACTAGCAGATAGGTGATGCAACAAAGAGAAACAGAAGCCATTTTTATTTAAAGAAAATAATAAGAGCGCAAAAAGACCGAAGACTTGAGCTAAGCCGCAACAGCCAGAGTAATACGTAATAAAATGTATTAACTCCCTGCACTTTGTAATAAAAAAACGCTACTATCAGCTTAACAAATAATTACTAAATACTCGTAAATACTTTCCCGGCCAAATTTTTGTAGTATATAGTTTTATGTATTTAAGAATTGGGTACGAATAAAGTACACGTTTAGATTTTCATAAAATAAAACCAAGTACTTTAAATGTTACTTTCGCTCGTGGCTAAGTGGTAACCAAGTAGGTAGTAGGTAACACATTGCAAAGTTAAGCAATCTTAGCCAGATCAGTCTATGGATGGGTGACCGATCTGAACACAATGAGATCTCCCTGTGCCTCGGAGAGCATATGAAGCCAATGGTCCCTGTTGGCATATGAACATCTGTGGCAATCGTTACGGGTAGTTGGAACCCTAGAAAGGCCGACAACAGTCTTTGCTAATACAGTTAGAATTGAATGCTCCAGAACGTCCCAGGACTTCAAGACTTCTCAAAAGTCGCAGGGCACTACGGGACTTTAGTTGTAGGATCAGTATTTTATACACCCTAGATTCTCCAGCTGTTTTGAAAAAAGTCATATTCATTTATATTTTAAAGAAAAAAATACAACTCGCGCACTACACTACGGCGGACTGTACAAACATACATGAAACGGACACAAAGAACATCCAGACACAACAACAATTTCTGGATCACACAAAATATTGTCCCATGTGGGAATCAAAACCACAACACTCAGTACAGAAGAAAGCGGCTAGATGACCGCTTAAATCCATCCAGTCCATCTCATTCTAGAACACACTACAGTTAAGCTCAGTATGGATCACACTTACAGCACCAATTTTTTGTGCGGCCCACGGATCGCAGTCTCTATATACTGCGTACATGCCAAGACCGCTTATGCATGTTGTAATACTTAAGAGGGAGAGAACTGGCCAGCTCCACCATAAACATTTCTGCGATCGATCTAGGGTGCTCACTGTTTGCAGACGTTGAACCTGTAACAAATTAATCATGTTACTCCTTAGATCTCTCAAATGCTTGGTCTCGTTAGATCTCTTTCCACAGCTAGGTTTTTTGTTTTTAAATAACTGAGATTATATAAAAGTAACTAGATAAAATTGACCATGGATGAATAAAAATAAGCTAAAGGGAAACCAAAGTTTGAGACTCAGTGGTTCCAAAGTTAGCCCCTACATTTATTTTATCTATGGTATTTTTTTCTTTTTTAAATAACAGTGAAACTATTAATCGCAAAATTATAAAATATATATATATATATATATATATATATATATATATATATTTGTAACCCTCACAACGAGACCTCGTACCTAATAGTAGTTAGGAGTAGTTAAAGTATTAATTCCATTTTTTTTTAGTTATACTTTGATCGCTGTTCAACCTGATTTCTTATCAAATACTCACTTGCGTATGATTGACACCGTACAAGGACAAATATACAATTGCACCTCCTAGGATCAGAGACCACCACGTATGCCTTTCCGTTGGATCTACGCTGAAACTAATAACACAACCATTAAACTTAACATTTGTAAGTAAATAAAACCTTTACGAAACTGATTTTACTAAATTCATAGACTTACTTAGAAAAGTCCAACCTCCCCCCTTCTTTGGCAATAACGAAAATTTGCCCCAGACCGCCAACTTGCATGGCACTGAACACCAACACACTGAGCACGGCGCCATACATCAAAGCCGACTGCAGAAGATCAGTAAACAACACCGCCTTCATTCCTCCCAAGGTCGAGTAAATAGTACATGCTATTCCTACTACTAATATTGAGATCAGTCTGTTAAATCCTGTGACAGTTTCAAGTACAATAGCTGGAGCGTACAAAACTATACCATTGTATAACACCATCTGTAAAGTGTAAGTCAAAGAGGCCAGCATTCTTATCTGAGGTCCAAATCTAAGCTCTAAATATTCATAAGTACTGGTTTTCTGGAGTCCAAAAAAGACTGGTAAGTACAATCGGCTAGCAATAGGTGTTGCTATGCCATAAGATATGTTGATGACGACAAACTGCATGCCGTAGTAATAGTTTTCGGCCGTCACACCTAGTAATGTTATGGCTGACATGAATGAGGCCATTAGAGACACTGCCACAGGGAATATGGACATGTTACGGTCTGCCAATAGGTATTCCTGTGGACAAAAATTTAACTAGTTATTTTTTTATGTTTGGCTATACAGCCCTACCTATTCTTTGGGAACACTTTAACAAAAAGTTTACATCCACACATTTAATACAATACTCGTAGTGCAATAACATATGTAAACTTCTTTTTATATCCATGAGTGATTACATATCGATATTCGGTATCGATATCAACTGTAGTTGAATTTATTTCTTAGTACTGAATTACTGGAACGTTAAAAATATATGGATATCAACACAGAATTATTAGTCGAGATCCGCAAATACAGATATGATCCTACATGCGCGAATACTGTTTACGGATACGTACGAGTATATCTGACACGTCTTGGGAATTGAATTAAATGTTTACTCATTGTGACTCATTTTCATACGTTATACCTATCTAGATTCATTCATATTCGCATGATTATACTTTTATCAATACTGTTGGGCATTACACTTTGTACACTCAAACTTCAAGCCAGGCTCGAACCGAGCGATGTACTTAGTCGTTATAAACCTGATTGGAACGTGCTATGTAGAAATGTGTTGAAAACTACCATAATTGCCATGAAAATATTATTGATAAAAGAATATCACTTACCTCATTTGTTTTTTGTTTGCCGCCAGTGAAGCGGAAATACAGTCCGATAACCATCGACGCAACCATAGTTGCCGCCATAATGGCATAGTCCCATGGTCCAAACACTACGTCAACCATTGTCTGGAACAACGAAACGTCTTTAGAAAATGAAAATAGAATATTTCTTTTGAAAGGGTACTAAAATGTTACTGTTTGTTCTAGGTAGTTATTTAAAAAAAAAGTTACCCTGAACAAAATTGTTATTGTGTTATTGTTAGTAATTTAAAATATTTTTTAAAAATACGAATCTCACTCCTTACTAAGCTAAGATTTTTGCAAACTTCAACATTTCACCTGCTTCGGCTTCGCGCGGTTGTAATTTAAAAGAACTACTATTTTCTAGTTCATCAATTTCAAGTTTCTCTTAGCCTACGTAAGCTATGTTAATTTATTTATCGGAAACATTGTTGCAAAATATTGAAAGTACGGTAAAATCCTCCTCAAAATCTGTTGGGTGGTTTAGAAGGATTTAGCGGATATACAGACAGACGCATAAAGCGACTTTGTTTCATACTATGTAAAGATGATCTGTTTTTTTATTTGGGAGGGGACACCTAGTTCACGTTTTTTACCATTTATATTCAAAGAAAAATACCGCCCTAAGGGTGACAAATAAAGGAATAACGAATACAGTTTATTACAACTTTTTCATTCCTCCTATTCATCCCGTGGCTGTCGTAAAGGCCGACTAAGGGAGTAAACTACGCAGGACAACAGCACTGCAAAGAGAAGGAAAACTTGAAACAAATCCTATACCAACCCGTCTGACCAGCGTGGTATAGTAGGCCAAAAACCTCCTTTTTAAGGGGAGGCCTACGTCCAGCAGTGGACTAGTAAAGGCTGTTGATGATGATGACAACTTTTCATGATGAAGAGCCATTGAAGTCGGTAATACTTTTTAAAAGTTAATTCCTTAAGCATTCTATATTTTTTATTAATCTATGGAAAAAAATAGAGCTCAACATTGAATTAAAGTTTCGTCTGTTTACCCCTTAGAAGACCATATGTGGACAGCACTTCTACCTACATATAGGCCTCGATGGTGAATAGAAAACCACCAGAACTGACGTGTGATGGGATAGTAAGGCACTGGTGTTATCAATAACTATAAACAGCGATGCCCGCTTATATTCAGCCGATCCGTGTTCTGTTTGAAATTTAAAGTACCATTTTTACCATGTTTTTACATATTACCTGAGCTCTCTAAGCCTTCCGGGTACTTTACATAATAATAACGTGAACATGCATTAATATAGAGTAGTGATAACATTAGATTATTGTTATCAAGAAACGAGAGAACAAAGTAAAAACCGTGGCAAGGGTCTTATATCCCAAGAGAACACTGATAAGAAAATGTTATCAAATGCTCATTGATACATCTCTACGCATATACTCATTAGCATTATAGTAATTTATAAATAAATCTCTAGTTTTGTTATGAATGGTTATTCATTAAGAATGAAATCAACTTGTGACGCACATCATAATGCAATTTTTAAATAAGAAACATGTATAGGTTATCTTGGTATGGACATGTCATGCGGAGGGAGGAGGTAAATGTGGCGAAGAAAGTTCTAGGTATGGGAGTTGAAGGGTACAAGAGAAGAGGCAGACCGAAGAAAAGGTGGATGGACTGCGTAAGGGAGGATATGGCTAGGAAGGGAGTAAACAGTGAGATGACGCATGACAGAGTAGAATGGAAAAATCATACATACTGCGCCGACCCCAAATAAAATTGGGAAAAGGGTAGGCAGATGATGATGTAAAGTCGATGGTAGAAAGTTAGATTTTACAAGAATACGATGATATATTTCTATCATTGCTCTTAAACGCACTTAACACTAGCTGTGTAAGTGGCTGTGACTTGACGCCGCTCTTACAAAATCCATCCTTTCCTCACATGATGCTTAAAGTGGTGAAAACTCTAATTTACAGCGGCGGGTCTTGCAGAAATGAATGATATAAAAAAAACAAGATCGGTCATTCATAATTGAGTTAATTAAATAAAATAACTTATTAAGAAAGCAACTGCCTGTTTTCATTGTAAGGAAATTGTAATAACGGTATTTGTACTGCAATGTTTGTTTAAACATTAAATAGGAACTTCTTAGTTAACAGCCGGTATTACGTTTATTATTCTTATGTTGAAGGACTAAAAATGTCTACTAAAGACATTCATTAATAATGTGAGCATTCTCGTAACGTTATATAAATTCGACTTATAGAATAACTTATACAAATCAGCTGCAGTAATCCCTTGTAGTTCTTCTCATATAACGTAAAACTTAGTTTTTAACTGACTTCTAAAAGGAGGAGATTATCAATTCGGATTGTATGTATATATTTGGATATGTGTATTTTTTTTGTATGCTCGGGCATAACTCCGTCATATATAGCCGGATTTTTTAAATTATTTTTTAGTTAGAAAGGGACTTATTCCGAAATGGTCCCATTTAAATTTCATATAGATCTGATGATGAGTTTCGGAGACAGACAACGGAACTCTTCAAAAAATGACAACAAATCAACCGCGATTGCTGCTAGGTTTTTAGTGCTCTTTGTTAGTATTGTTTTAAGTCTGTTCAACTTTTTTTTAAAGGAGTTATTAAGCTACAGAAGTGGGAGGTGGGAGGTGAATGTCTAACATCCAATATAGTCAACCTACTCATTGAATGTAGTTATTGCTCTGATTAGTTTAGGTTTATCGAACTGTTACCTTAGTGACTTTAAACATCGCCAATACAATTAACAAATTGGCTTTAATTAAAATTCAGAATAGAAATAGAAATAGAATAGAAGAAATAGAATAGAAGAAGATCAGCATTAAAGTTTGCTTTGAAGACCAAAGGTCCGTCCGCACAGCGATATTTCACCGCGAGGTTTTTATTCGCGCGGCAAAAGTCGCTGCCGTATCGCATTCAATTTGTATCAAATCGCAGTCTTTATTTTCGCGCGATTTATTTTTCCGCCAGTGCAGATAGGTCTATAAAGATGCCATGTGTCACAGAACACAGGCCTTAAGATTACCACTTGGCAAACCTAATGTTATATGGATTAAAAAAATTGAAAAAGAAAGAAAGAAATAGACGTTTGTTTTGATTCTCGTAGCTATCAAGTCAGCACGGAGGCACTCCATTATGGGCAACGCATGTTTTTTTTTCCGCCTAGATAGCAATCTGAATACGTCACGGTTTTGTATTTTTTTAAACTCGCTCAAAGGAAACTTCTTAACAGCTCCTACATTGTATAAGTCATCAAATCTTATCTGACGAATACAGACTCTCTATTAATAAAATAATAACATACCTAAATAAAAGCATTTTTATTGAAAACGTTAGGTATCTAGCATCCCAGTCAGTGACTTAACAAACAAAAAATTATTGCTGGCGCAACCAATTAAAATTGATTGAGTGAGCGTATCTTATTTATATCAGTATTCTACATCATTCCTCTATCATGATGCAATACAATTTAACAGAATTAATACACATTTTTTAAGTACTCTAAATAATTAATAATTCAAAACGATTTTGTAGGTTACTTCCTGCTTGTTAGTTTCAGGCGATTTGGTAAACCTACTCCGAAAACGCCCAAAGAAGTTCAGTTGGGACAGAAACCCACCTGTAGCTAGCAGCCTAGCAACTGTATCACCACTTTATTTTTGAGATAACACGTTTTAATGTATGAATTAATGAATGCAACAAAGAAGAGTTAATTATTAGTCCGTTAATCAATCAGATTAGGAAATAAGAAGCACTGTGGTAATGACGGTTAACCGTCATTACCACAGTGCGTTCCTTGTAACGTCTTATTAATAAAAGTTGCAGTTCTTAATTATGAGCTTATATGGTGTACATTTTAAGAAAAAAATAATCTTTCGGGCATATCTAATATCCTCGAACTTTGGTATTCAATAATAGAGCTCGAAATTCCCGTCAACAGCCAGTTCGAGAGTCAGGTATGCGATCCTGACATGCCCGAGCTGTGGCTTAGCTTCTTATTTTCCAAAAAAAAAAAGTATTTTATTCTATTCTACTTTTACGTATTATATTATTGTGTTATATTCTATAGTCCCATTCAATTTAGTATAATTATACCATTTTAACTTTCAAAATATCCTTTTGACATCAATAGGCTCGTCCCATTATTTAAGTGGGACCAAATTATAATTGGCTATATATGGATATTTTAACAACCCTGGCGATATAATTTGTTCTCACAAAGTTTTAAGGATGCGACATCGGAGGCCCTATTCTTGAAAAAAATGACATCGGGTAAATCACAACGTTTCTCGCAAACATTTCCCCAAGCTTTTAACCCAACTGTTTAATTAGTTGAGACACGATTGAATTTCTTGAATTACTGATTTTTATTTTATAGAATACCAAACTAAGGTTTTTTTTTGAAGATTGCCTGAAACATGATTTTTGTCAATAAAAATTGCAAGAAAAACTCAACGAAACGTTACTTTTACCAATAGAATAAATAAGTCTTTTTAGGGTTCCGCACCTCAAAAGGTAAAAAAGGAACCCTTATAAGATCACTTTCTTGTCCGTCTGTCCGTGTGTCGCCACCCATTTTCTGAGGAACGGGTAGACCTAGCAAGTTGAAATTTATACCAGATACTGAGGTCTAATAGGGACCATTAGGTGTATAAACATAAAGGTTCTGAGTCAACTCGATAAAAAGATATGGGCAAATTTCGATTACGAAATTTACCTTAATTTTCAACTTTTTTTAATTTTCAGAATTTTCTCTTTTTTTGTGCTGTAAGACCTTGCTTTTAAACAAACTTGACAATTCTAGGTCAACCGGAAGTACCCTATAGGTTTTGGGTCGAAAACCTATATGGTAGTTCCCGTTAACCTAGAATCACGAAATTCGGCAAAAAGAAACGTCTTACAGCACAAACAAAGGAATAATTTCAAAAATTAAAAAATGTTGAAAATTAAGATAAATTTTGGTACCTACAAATTTTCGCGAAAATCTACGTAAAATCTGGGTAGGTACGGAACCCTCGGCGCACGAGTTCGACTCGTACCTGACCGGTTTTTTTTTGCCATTTCATAGGAACTGTT